GTTAATGTATATAAAAAACATAACTGCTTTTTTTACGTTTTAAAAGAAAGAATTTTAATATACATTACTCTACATTATTATAAAATATATGTTATAACTTATATGTATGACACAATTATGTTCGACTTCTAATTTATATAATATCCAAAAAATAAAAAATGCAAACTTTTTATATATTATAAATGTTACATCAAACCAGAACTAAAAAATAAAAAATTAAAACTTAATAATGTTTAATTTAGAATAACTTTTAGATTACCAATTTAAATTTATATTTATTTGTATGCGTGTTATAACAATCATATTTTTGGTATTGGAAGGGTTAAAAACTAAAATTTTAACAAAAAATAAATTTCAATACCAAAAAGAATTTTCAACAAAATTCACTCATTCACGACAAATAGACTTTTTTGACTGTATTTAAAAAAGTTACATAAATTATTTGCTATAGATTTAACGTCTCCAGTTTTTCAACAACATCATCGATTGATGGCCGTATTTTTATATCACTATCCCAACACTGTGATATCAAAACATATTCGTCTTGTGTTATTGACTCTTCCTTTGGAAGTCGTTTTCCAGAAATAACAAACTCAGCGATTTTCCAAGGAAATTTGAATTTTATTTTATCGTAAGATTCTTCCCACCCAAACACTTCGAACATGGTGACTCCAAACGAATAAATATCTGATGAAATTTTGTACTTCTCTTTTTTCAACACTTCAGGCGCCATATACACTGGAGTACCAATACCTTTTGTGAATGTCATATTTGTCATCAGTAAATTGACATTTCTTGATGAACCAAAGTCAGTCAATTTGAGTTCACTTTATCATTAATATCAAGTAAAAACACTAAAATGTTGTCTGGTTTAATGTCTCTGTGGAATATCCCATTGTCGTGTAAATATTGAATTCCTTTTGATGCATCAAGTATCATTTTGACTCGAAGTTTCATATCAATTTCATCACTTTTTTGTGTTTCATCAAGTCTTGTAAACTTCCAAATCCTGCAAATTCGGTGACCATACACACTTTATTTGGCACAAAGACTGCTCCATAGAAGTGGACGATGTAATCACTTCTAAATTTGTCTAACATAGAAACTTCCTTCTCAAATTCATTTTCTTGTGATTTTTGGTTTATTAACAGTTCTTTCATCTTCTTGATACAAACCATATTTTTTCTAAAAGTGCCTTTGTAAACTATTCCAAAAGAGCCTTCACCAATTTTCTTATCTTCTATCAATTCGTGATAATCAAGACGATATGACATGACAGTTGTTGCTCTGATTGGTATTTCAATGACATCTTCTGTTCCTTTGGTGATGTTCAAAGTCACACACGCTATTTTGTCTTCTATTTTTGATGTGAAATTTGGCTTTATAGAAATTTCAAATTCGCAAGCATAATTTGATTTCAATGTCACAAGAGGGGGATTGGCTTGGATTTTATAAACATCATTCCCTTCTTTCATTTTCAACTGCATTTTTATATGATGTGTTGTGTTGTTACCAAGACACAACAACTCGCGACTAAATTCATTTACCAGTATCTCTCCACCCTCATTACTACTTTCAAAAATCAGTTCTGTTTTGTTTGTTGATATTTCTTTCGATATTTTGACAAATTTGATGTTTGATTTTTTTATTTGAAAAACACACACATTTTTGGTCTTCTTTTTATTTTTGTTGTTGTTGTTATAAACATTGAATAGAATGCAAGTCGTTGTTGTTGATATGATGATAATTACAATTGCAACGACTATGATTGGTATACCAATTCGTTTCAATGTGATCAATTTGTCTTCCACACATGACAAACCATCATCTGACGGTTTTCTCATTCCTTTACATGATGTGCAGTATCCATTGTGAGCAGAAGTGCAAAATTCAATTTCAGTGTAATACAAGCAAATTCCATCTTTCAAGACGTAATCTGTGACATTACATATCTCACATGATTTTAATGAAGTGCATGAAAGACAATTCTCTGCACATTTGGAACAATACGGATCTGTAAGGTAATACCCCATTTGACACACATCACAGCCATGTGACGTCTTGTTTTTGCACCCCATTAACTTGTCATAAGTGATACACAAGTCACTGTCTCTTTTATAGTAAAAATAGGTGTCTGCACACAACGAACATGAAATTGAGTTTTTACAGATTGCACACGATTTATCACATTCATAACAAAACTTTTGCTCATAGTAATACCCATTTTTACATATTGCACATCCAACACCATTGCCCATCGGTTGTTGGCAACTGATTGTTAAAATGGTTTCAATGCACTCGCCCTTGTTATTGAGTAACAATTATTTGATTCGTTGCATGTTAGACAAAGTGTTGAATTAAAACAAGTCGTGCAGTTGTTGGCGCATTTAACACATTTGTTGTTTTCTAAATAATATCCATCGTTGCATGATAGACACCCTTTCTCATTTTGATATCTGCAATTTGTGTTGTCATCTATTTCTTTCATTATATATTTGGTATTATCCACATCTTGTTTGTAATTTTGAATTGTTTGATCCTTTATGTTAGTACCAATAACACTTTCACAATTTCCATCACTCAAAAAGTGTGTTGTTTCACACTCAAAAACAGTACTTTGAGTGCTGTTGACAACAGTGTGCATTGAGTATCTCACAAATTGTTCTGATGATACACAATGGTCATCTTGGTTGTTTCGTGTGTATTTACCATTGCATTGTATGCACATGCACCCATTTGTCTTGTGGCAATTCACCGCACTTTTTAACACACAAATTCCATTGACTAAAAGTGTATCATTTGTGCATTGAATGCATTCACACGTGTCTGTAAATACTTCACAATTTGTGTGTGAATTATTGTCGTTGCAATCAACACATCTGTTCTTTGTTCGTTTGAAAATCTTGGATTTGTCACATGCAATGCAGTCACTTCCATCAATTGTGTTACAATTAGTGTCACTTGTACACGTGTTGTTTTCAATGTTTATCACATATCCACTTTGACACGAAAACACACTGAAATTATCTGTCAAATTTAAAGAACAAATCTTGGCGTTGTGTGTCGAACAGCTTTCACAGCCATTCGTTTGATTTTTGAAATATCCATTTTTACATATAAAAGTGAAGTTGTTTCGTATAATCTCATTGTTTTCATTTGAAGTACAAGTGTTGTCTGTGTTGAGAATGTGGTTATCTTTACATTGTAAACACCTCTCTTGTTTTTCATTGAGTTGTATGTTGTATTTGCAATGCTCTTTTTGTATAAAACATGAAGTACCAATTGAAATGCCAAAATCGCACACCTCACAATTTGAACGAGTGTTGGTTGTGCAATTGTTGGTGATTGCAACACATTTGTCGTCTTTCAAAAAACTTGTATTATTGTTGCATGCAACACAAACATTTTGCTTTGCATTTTCGACACAATTGATACCATTGGTTTGACAACTTTTGGTGTTATTATCGTAATATGTATAAGTTGAACATTTTAAACAAGTTCCTAAATTTGTTTCCAAAAGATAAGGTGCATAACAACCAGTGCAATGAGCCTTATAATCATTTGTAGTTGAACACAAGTGGCAATTTTGTTGTCCCAAGTAACACATTTGACATGTTCCCTCTGTTGAATTTTGATATGTCCCACTGCGACACAAACAAGTCCCATTGAACAATTCAAATCCTGGTTCACACCTGGTACAATATTTTTTATCCATTTCACAGGTGTTACAGTTTTTGATTGTACTACAATTGTAGCATATACCGCCATCTAAATAAGTCCCCAATTGACATTTTGTGCATTTTGTCGTATGATCACAACCCGCAATACAGCCATCTCCGCAATATGTGCAAGATTTTGATGTTGCATCAAAATAATGATGATCAACACATGTAATACAAGTACCATTGTTTGGTCCAGTGCACGTGTCACATGGCGATGAACAATGTTTACATTTATTTGTTGATGTGTCAAGCCAATAACTCATGTTAATACAACTTTTACAATCAGTTTGTGAAGAACATCTCTGACACGGGCTTACACATTGAGTGCATGCGTTGTTTGAATTCAGATAATATTGATCTGTAATACAAGTATTGCAAACAGTTGCATTTGAACAAGTCGAACACGGTGAAATGCAACTTTGACAGTTTCTATTACCGTCCAAATAAAACAAATTGTTTATACACCGTGTACACCCAACATTATTTGCACATGTTGAGAAATCACAATTAGTTCCACAATAATTACAAATTCCATTGGATAAATAATACCCGCTATTACATTTTGTACACCCAGACGTTGTCGTGCAATATGTTAAGTTGCAGTTCGCTGGACATACTGCACAAACGTGATTGTATGGATAATACCCGCTATTGCAAGTTGTGCACCCTTGGGTTTGAACACATTTGGTGCATTGATTACCACAATATCGACAATTGTGATTCGTATCGAGATAATAATTACTTAAACACGTCAAGCAATATGATGAAGTTGTGCACGTCGCACAGTTGTTAATACAAATATTACAAACACCATTTGATAGGTAATATCCACTCTGACAACTTGTACACACAGAATTTGAACAAGTCGTACACACATCCGGAGATCCACACTTCATACAAAAGCCACTTAATTTGTAGTAATTATCGGCACAGTTTACACAATTGTTTGCTCCACTACCAGTACAGCCATTACAAGACACGTCACAATTGTTTGTACAGAACCCATCTGAATCAATATATTGATTACCATCACACGATGCGCATTTATACCCATCAATGCAATGATTTGCACATCCAAAACAATAGGTACAATTGAAGTTTGTTACACCTTGACCATAATAACACGAAGTGCAGTAATTTGTGTTGCTGGGGTTGCACGTTTTACATTTATCGTAGCATTTTATGCACACGGAATTGTTAAATACATATCCATCTCTACAACCTGTACATATGTTATTACTTGTTGTGGAAGTTCCACAATTTGTATTATTGCATCCTTCACACGAATAACAATCACCACTTATCATATAATAATTAATATTACAAATTTGGCAATTATTATCGTTCCATGAACTACAAGTGAAACAATTGGCTACGTTACAAGCAGATTTCATGAGACCTTTATTTTGTTGTGTTGTTGAAGGAAAATCGTAAGTAAATTGTTCATTTGAAAATATTAAATAAGTAAAATTTCCAGTTGGAATTTCGACATATAAAACTGCATCTTTATTGCAATAAATTGTTTTGTATTTTTTATTTTGGTTTTTGAGAAGTAAATAATTGTTGTATGAAAGATCATCACAAAAGTAGTTATCGTCAACACACTCCACTTGACTTCAGTTGCCGCACCATTTTAAACTCAAACATGCCGTAAAAATGAAGAGCAAAAACACTATAATAATTTGGTAAGTCATATTTTATTTCAAGATTGTGTTTTTAGGAATTATCATTTGTGGATAAATATATGTGATGTTGACCAGATTTTGAAAAAATGTTTTGATAACTATAAATACAAAATATGCATTTGTTACTATATTTTTATGAAATTTAATTATAATAATAATATAAATGTTTTGTAACATATGTAAAGTTTTATCAAAAACATTTAACTAAAATTTATTAAATATTGTAATTTAGAATTGATATTGGTTTGTTTTTGTATAACTTTGCTTATATCAGAGTTAGACATTTTTTTATTTTTTTGGCAAAAAAATATTTTCAAGAAAAGGGAAATACGAGGCACCGAAGTTCAAAAACTATTAAGAATTGTTTTTTTATTATTAAAATATTTATTTTATTGACATATTTTTTTTACAAAATAAAATTTTAGTTTTATACTTTCTTTTATTACATAAAAATGTATCAAATTAAAAGTATTAATATATTACCGTTTTATGATAAAAACACATAAAAATTAATCATTATAAAACCATTGTGTTTAATACATCTTTTCAACAACAAAAATATTACTACCCAAAATATTAGTTTTTTTGCAAAAGTTATAGGTTGCCCGATTTTTGTTTTTTTTTCTTATTATAGTAATTTATGTGTTTGCTTTTTGTTGGTTATTTCAATTTAAAAACCCAAAAATGGTAATAATTAAATTAATTTGTCACTAAGTTAAAAAGTCAATTAAAATAATATAAAAACCATGTTTTATTATATTTACAATAAAACATTTTTAATTAAAATAAACAAAATATTATAATTATAATAAAAATAGATAAACAAGTAAATTTTATTTTGAAAAATAATACAATGAATGTATTTGCATTCTTTCAAAAAGTATACTTTCCTTGACAATATATAATAATCACTTGGTATTCCCGCTCTACTAACTTCATGAAACAAATTGATCATTGCTTCCTCAAGTTCCAGGTTCTGTGGTTTTCTTATTCGTTTATACGAGGATGGAAAGTTTATCAATGTTTCTTTAGAAATTGAACGCAAATGATAAACTTGCTTTGGAGAAATTACTATTTTCAGTTGTTGTCTGACAACTTCGATTACTTTTTGTGAATTTTGATAAGGATCAATTAATTCAATAATTTTTATTTTGTCTCGTAACATCAATGATGTTCTTGTTTTAACACATTTGGATTGCATTAAAACTTAATGATTTAACAGAATTATTTTAAGTTATTTAAGTCGAAACAAAGTTAGATACAAAAGTTTTATTTATTATGTTAATTGTGTTAATATATTTGTCTTTGTTTTTTGATTTATTATAAAATTTATTATTTATTTAAGATAAAAATAATTGCCAATTGTTTTCAAGACATAGGCCAGGTGTTTATTTTGGTTAAAAAAATAATAATCAAAAAATTATTTTTGTGACAAAAAACAAACCGAGGTATTCTTTGTTAATTATATAATTCCTCATTTTCCCTTATATCGAATCATACTTAGACAAAAACTCTTTTTTTCCTCTTAATTATTAAGACGGTGGACAAAAAAGCACATTCGATTACCAAAACATGACTTTTCAAGTTGTTTTTTCATTGTTTTTGTTATTTTTGGATTTTTAAACAAGAAATCACAACATTCAAATAGTTTAAATAATGGACTAGTAAAAATAATGATTATTTTATAGTTTTTAAACACAAGAAATTTCAAAAAAAACAAAGAAATTTAATGAATAATTTTATAGAAAAAATAGGTACAAAATTGGGATAATTAATTTTAATAAAAAACAAAACGTCCGTTATAATCACTAAAAAAACATTTTGAAAAAAATCAATTAAAAATTAAAATAAATGAAAACACAACACCATCTATTCCTTTTCGACACTTCTCGATATAAAAAAATGTTTGAAATAGACAACTTAAACGTGTCTGGGTCACGTTTAAGTTGATAATCATTATATATTATAAATTTCAATTATTTATTAGTTTATCATTATTAATAAATAATAAATCATTAATTTTATTAAAAATTACAAAGCCTAATACAAAGCCAATAATATATATATTTATATAGTTTTACATTAATTTATTGATAATATTGTAAGTGTTATGAAATTAAAAAAAACTAATAATCCTTTTGAGTTCAATGTGTTTGATTAATTAACAACAAAAAACCCGATGTTTCCAGAAATAGTTTTTTTAAAATAAAAATATTTAACATGCTTTATTTATTTGCAAAATTTTGGGTATATTAGGTTTAATAAAAACGGTACCATAAAATATATTTTATTGTGTAAAAAATGTTCATTTTAAACAACTAATCGCTTTCCAAAACATGAAAACAAACAATTTGTTTGATCTTGTAATCATTTTAGACATCTAAAAATTAAATGAAATCATTCAATTAATAAATTATAATATATCATAATAATTTTATAATACTCAACAAAAAAAATAAAAAGTTAATAACACCAAAAATATAAATTTGAATCGGGAAGTGTCTGTTGTATTTTAAAATTAAATAATATTAAACTAATTAAATCGTAGTTTTAATATTTGCAAAATCTAACACAAATAGATTGATTTATTTCGAATTGTACTCTTAACAAATATAAAAATATAAAGTTGGGATTTGCTTTATAACGGACGTTTAAGTTTCCTTTTGTTTTTTTAAATGAATTATTAGTTCATTTTTTTGCTAAAAAATAACCAATTAAAAAGTGGTAATTTAGAATCGTCTGAACAACAAATTTGCCAAACTAAAAAACGATCTTTGAATCGACAAAATTCTTTTTTTTGATAATTGTTAATTAAATCAACAAAAAAAGACGAATCTTCATATTTAATTTGGGTTATTATTACGTACGATTCCTATTACTTAGCATTAAATCGATACCAAATATTAGCCAAATATTTTAAATATTTAAAGTGATACAACATTGGTTTAACCATTATTTTAACAGTGAAATGATTATAGTGTATGTTTATATTGCTTTTTATTAAAAAACTATATCAGTGACTTTATAAACTTTAATAATAATAAGTAATTGAAAAGACACAGAAATGCCTTAAACATCTTCAAAAACGTCGTACAAACACATAACACTTAGGATACAATTAAGATACTAAAAATCACAAAGTTATATACAATTGTATTTGATGTTGTACATTATCGAGAGTTAAAAACACTGTATTCGATATTTGATATTCTGTTTATATAATTTTTGGTTTCAATTGTAATCTTGTTATTTTTTAATTAAAGTCTGTCTAAAAACGTTGTCCATTTGACAAAAAAACACAAAATAACTTTAAAAATTTGGGAATTAGGAAAGAACGATCAAATCCCGTAAAAATTATGAAACAATGTTTTGGGAGTGTTTTGAATCGTTTCCTGAAATATTCCAGTTTTGATGGTCCAAAAATGCCTGGACAACGTTGGAGAGCGGACAACGTTTTCAGACTGACTATAAAATAAAAATTAATTTAGTTAACAAAAACAAATTGTATTAATTTAATTAATTGAACAATAGTTTGTATTATCTGAGTAAATGAATTATAAATTGAAATAAATAGAATGATAAAATATAGTTTTTTGAATAAAACTAACTAATGTACATTAAAAGTCTCCGTTTTAAAAGGAAAAAACTACAAATATTTTATATATTTTGTTTGTCGAAAAAAATAAAATTAAATAATACTTTCGTAATTAATTATATCAAAAAATGATCAAACTATTATTATTGTATTTTTGAATCTGAAAATGTTGTTATTTAACATGCCAAAGTACAAGACCTGTTTAAAAACCAAAAGATCACAATCATTTTGTAATTGTTTAATTCTTAAACCGGACTTTCCAAACACTCAACCAAAAGCAACAAAACATTTAAACTACTGTATTTTTTGCAATAAGTTTTTTGAAGCAGGAAAAGTGTATTTAAATCACCATCTCTTCCATTTAGAAAAACAACACGAGTCAGCAGTTTTACAAAACCAATATTTATTAAGTTTTGCATTCAACAACATTTCAAAACTTAACATCATAATGGCTAAAAGGTTATCCGACATAATAACAATCGATAAGATTAATTTAAAAAAAGTACAATATGGTCTCAAGTCAAACACTTGAAAATGTCATAATTAATGGAGGTATTCCAGAACAGCTCATAGAAAATGTACGCATTGGACTTGTCAATCAAATAACAACACAATTTCCACATATAAAACCAAGAGGGGTTAATGAAATTATAATAGAAGAAATGCCTCATACATCTGACCAAGAAGACATTTCAGAAGACATGGATCATGAACACATTGAAACGACAAGTGTACAAATAAATGAAAGTCGTCAAATGGTTTGTGAAATTTCAAATACACCAGTTGCTGATATACAAACTAACCAAATAAATAAACCGAATAACAACATGTCAGAAAATACCGAAGAAGATTGTTCTTCGTCGTTCACTTCAAATGAAAATGTATTATTTCATAATACTAAAGACTCTTTTTCATCATTTACAACATACATAGAAAGCGAAGATAATGACAATTCAAACGTGACAACCGAAAAAAGTGTCGAGTCTGATATTTTAAAATTAGATGATCTTAGTTCGGATGATATTTTTTGAAAGTGAGTTAAAAGAAAAACACAGCAAAGAAGAGATTGAACGTGTTTTGTTTATGAAAAATGTTTTTGATAATTACAAAATAAATGAAAATGATCACGCAAAGAAATTTGAAATTGAAATTACAAAAAAGTCATCGGTAAGGTTGGTAATGATTCTGAAAAAGTCAACAAAGAAAAAAGAAAATATATTATTATTCTCTTTGCATTATATTTTGGCGCTCTTTCATTGTCTACATCAGAGATTGAAAGGATTATTGAACTTACACGTGTTATATCTTTGTGTGTTGGAGGGGTCACTTTCGAATATTCGGTTAGTGCACGTACAATTCAACGAAAAATGATGTTTATCCATAAAGTTGCAAAAAGTGAGATATCGGAGTTGGGGTCGACTGGACAAAAATACCATTTGATAGTTGATAGTTCTAAAACAAAAAGCAAAGAACATTTTTCGTTGTTTTGTAGATTCGTTAAAGAAAATTTCTCTGTAAAAGAAATTAAAATTAAAATTGGGGATTATTTTGGTAAAACAGACTCAAACAGTTGGAAACAATGGATTCGAAAGTGTATCAAACGCAACAACCTTTCTTGGAGTAACTGTTCGGGTATAACAGGTGACTCGGCCAACAACATGAAATCACTTTTTCGGAATTTAAAAGTGTGTGTACCACGTACTTATCGACACAAGTTTTGTATAAACTTTTGTATTTGCCATCGCTTGAACACTGCGTTGTCTAAAATGTTTGAAACTACAGAAGGGTCAACAATCAACAATTTTTTAAAAGAAATTTCCACTGAAAAATGGAGAGGTCTCTGGCGTAATTTCAGACATCAAAACAATATTAAAACTTCCACTCTTCAGATCGACAGCTTGTGTACTACACGTTGGGTATTTCAAGAATCACTTCTTGCTGTCATATTTGAACATTTTGATGTTTATAAATTGTTTTTGAATAAAGAAAATTTCACATTTGAACAAACCCAAACAACAGGCGATGACAGATCATTTATTTTCGGAGATGCTTCTTTGAACAACAAGTTGTTTGTTGGAGCTTTATTCTTTGTTGAAATGATAGTCGCGGAAATGCGCACTATTGTTGACTGGTTACAGGGAATTGACGTTGTTTTTCTGGTTGCTTATGAACGTGTGGTTAGATACATTAAATATCTTTTTGGTGTGCTCGAACAACTAAAAAACGACGGAAATTGTTATTTTGAGAAGCTTCCTTTTATCAGAGAAATTGACAACTCTGCCGACATCAAAGACCTTAAATTGGTGTGTATCAGTTTAGTAGAGCGTCTCCTCCAAGCTCTGCAATTTCGTTTCGCTAACCCATTCCAAAAGTCCACACAGTTACAAATGACTCCCAGAAATCCAGTTAGAGAAGAATTGTTTGTCATTGGGACAATATCAAACTTTGATGAAAAGATCCGTTTGAACGAACCTGCGTTAATTCGAAAAACAAACACTTACTTCATACCAAATGAATTACTGAGAAAACGAAAATGTTTTTCGAAAAGTGAAACACGAAAAATGAGGTCATTTATAAAAGAAAACCCAGAACTGATAGCCCCAATTTTGAAAAAACAAAGAGAACAATCATATGTGGTACCAGAAATAAAAACAACAAAACACAACAAAAACATAATCAGTCAATTCGTAAATTCTCGTGGACATTTTTTGAAAACACGTAAAAACATGGAAAATGATACAGCGACTGATGAGATTGTGTGTGGAGTGCCATACACAATTGATATACTTATTCAAAGGCAATGTTTTCGAATTTGGAAAAAGGAGTATTTATCTTCATTCACAAGGAAATGCCCAGTTGTATATTTGACATTAGCCAATGTTCTAAATCTGATGGATAAGAAAACAAGGGACATGTTCCCAGAACTTAAAATTATCGTCGAAGAACTACACGTTATTGCAGCAACCAGTTGTTCAGTTGAACGTTCATTTTCACAACTGAGCCGTGTTAGCAAACCAGGAATGACTGGAAAAACAACTGAACAGAGGTACGACGCCAAACAAATTGTACATTTTGGGAAACCCAAAACAGAATGTTAAATATTGACAGTAAGAAAAGCTTTAAATGTTTATTAATTCCTTTGTTATAAAAAATAATGTAACACTCGCGTCGATGCACTTTACTACAAAGAGATAATTTATAAGTTATTATAAATTATTCATAAATTCTAATGTAAAAAATACACACATATTGTTGTTGGTATTAAATATCACGATTGTTTTGAAGTCTTGAAATGACTAGAAAAGTTCCTAAAGTTAACACAATTTTGTATGACAACGAATGTGACGGATTCAGTGAAATAAAATGACATGACAAATGTAGCTTGAGTGTGTGATAAAAGACTCACAAATAAACTAATCATTATACAATATCAACTTCGTGTATATTTTATTAATTGGAATAGCTTTGAAATTTTAAATTGGATTTCTAATTATTTCTAATTAATTTGTATTTTTAGTAATTTTAATAAATTAATACTAATAAATATTGTTTTTATTAATAACTATCTTAAATTATGATAATGTTTTTTTTTACATACAAACACCACTTTTTAATCGTAGTCCTAATTTACCCATTTTTTTAATATGATCATCAGTAGTTTTAAAGTTCTCATACCACACCAACACAATATTAAGAGTGTATTATTAGCGAAGAAACATATAGATTTGAATACTGCCCAATGAAATAAAGAGTTTGGCGATAAATAAGAATGGGCACTTGGAAAAACATGGCAAACACGTCAAATGTTTTTTTTGAATAAAAAACAAGTAAAATACTTAAGTTTCAATATTTATTTTTCTGATTGATATAACATTAAAATGGTTAATTTATTATAAATTTATAATTTTTGAGGCCATACTATAAAAACAAATTATCAATCTTTTTAATTAAATTGATTTGGTTGATTCGCTCTGCCGTGTCTTGTTCATTGTCGTAATTGTCTCGGCCAAAGAATACATCAACATATTCACCGTCTTTTAGCTAGTTTCACAAGTTATACAAATTTGGTATACCTCTTGTATCATACTGTTGGTGTTCAATAACCAGTTATTAACCTTTCTAGCAAAGGATTCAAAGAGAGCTGTATCAGATTATCCTAATAAATTAATTCATTTGTGTTTTATTATTATTGTTTCACAAAAACAAATATTTTAACCTTAGCAAGTCAACTGAATCAACTTTTTTTGTGGGAAGGTGAAATCTGGATAAAATTTATCGAGATCGATTATATTTTTAGAACAATTAAAAACAAATTCAAAAACATAATATCATTTAGTTTTCATACAATTGAAACAGTTTCTATAAACCCAATTTCCACACTTACCACATGTCCAAATTGGTATATTTTTGCTGCAAACGTGACACACAGAATATGTTTTTACAGAAATACCTTTAGCTTTACATGTTTTACACCACCCAGACTGTTTTTTGCCAGAACTTGTCAAATACAAAATCTTTGGAGGTCCGGGGAGTTGAATATCGAATCCAATTTGTCTTAGTTTGGTTTCCCTTTTCATTGTCATTTTTTCTCTGTTTTTAAGTCTTATATGGGCTGGCCATTTGAAAACACAGGTTGTTGATGAAATTTCGTTTATCTGCATCTTGGTGTTTTATTTTCCACATCACGAAAGCATTATGCACACATAAATCCAACAAAAACCAAAAATAAGAGACTGTCCACCTTCTCGAAATCCTTCTTGTTGTATGAGATGAACAGATTTTATCAACCATATCTACCCCCCTTTCATTTTGTTATACTCAAATATCGTTTGTGGAATTCTCGTATTTATATCAATTGTAGTTTTCTGATTTTTTGTTGTTACAAAACAAATTCGTTGTTTACTTTCCTTTTCTTTGAAACCCAACATGAACCATTTTAAATTTGAATGACGAAAAAGAACACATCGGTCTTCCAAATTTTCCTGAATCTTTTTGCAAATTTTGAAACGTATTTGCCGAACCGTCCCAATAAAATAAACTTTATGTTTCATCAATTCTTGAAGTAAATCACACGTTCCGAAAAAGTTATCACAACACAAAACTCTGTTTTCCCCAAACAAATGTTCCATCAAGCTTAGAACTGTTATTGAAATAGGAGTACTTTTACCCTTTTCTTTTTTGGCTTTTTTTCGAAACTGTTCAATTCAATAATAGTTGGTCTTTTTGATGGGCCGTAAAAAACTGGAATAGTTGTAGTTAATTTTGGTGTCACTTTTTGTGAGAATTCTGAACCACAATACAATTTAAGTTTTGAAACATAAGTTGTGTAACAATCCACAACAGCGTATGTTTTTATACCATAACGATCTGGTTTTGCAGGCATATAAACTTTAAATGGACATCTTCCATAAAATGGACACATCATTTCATCAATAACCACATTCTTCCCAACAATCATAGATGTTTGAAAGTTGAAATTTATCAAATCAAACAGTTCATTGATGGCAACATCCTTTCTTTTTGTTTTAATTTTTCGTTCTTCTCTTGTTATTTTATCATCAAAATGAATGTTTTGAAATAATAGCTTTAGTCGGTATTCACAAAACATTGCAAGATAAAATGGAGATGCCTCTGTAGTATACAATTCGTGTATTGGTTTCTTGACATCATCGTTGATCCCCTCCTTTATCGCAACAGAAAGAAAAGCATTCATTTTTTTTTGTGTGGCATTTTTCCAGGATCGCAAAAATTTGAAAGATGCATATTTGTTGGTATTATTAGTAATAATTTGAAGACAATTAGCATCAAAAAAAATGTTAAAAGAATCAATTTCTCTTTCTATATTATCATTTTTTGGTTTGGCGGATTTGTCATGAAAGAAACAACTCTCTCCAATATCAACATCCTGAAAAGGTAATTCCTGCCAACATTTCAAACAATTTGGGTCATTACACGAATGGGGAACTAATGTATTTCTTACTTGTTGTTCTTGTGTTTGTTGATTATAATCTTGTAATAGAGTGTTTTGTGTGTTATACACTTTCAGTTGTTGTTCTTGTTGAAGTTGAGTCATGAGAATTTGATTTAATTATTCAGTACTTTCATAATTTAAGTGGTCTTCACTATTATCGTCACTATAAATTGCATCTTCAGAGCAGCTGTCATACTCGTCAATGTCATTTTCGTTTGGCAAAAAAAATTAGCTCGTCATTTTTATATAAAGTTCTATATAGTTCAAAACGTAAAAATAGAAAAAGTGACTTATTTTTAAAAAAACGAACTTGATATTTTTTATCCAGTTTTCACTTCGTAAGGTTAATGTTTTAAAATAATATTTTAAACAAAAGTTTTGTTTGTTTTCTAATAATAAAGTAGTTGGGTCTGTATATTAGCTTTTTTTTAAATTGTATTTTTGATTTATAAAACATTTTTGTGTTGTTTGTATGTATGTAAGTATAGAATAAACATATAGTTGTTTTTGTCATTTAGTTTAAAATGTTTTAAACTATATTTAATTGTTTCATTATTATATAAATTCAAAAATTAAAACTATCCATTGTTAATATCCGATATTATAATTTTTACTAGTAAAATTTCTTTCTCATGAATTTTCATTTTTGAAAAGTCTATGGAATAGGTCAGACAATATAATTGGTAATTTTTGCCATAATAAAATTTTTTGTCTAAAGGGTTTCTTGAGGATAAGGTGTATCCTCAGGATTAAAGCTATCCTTATTAAAAAATATTTTTCTGAGGATACAAAAATCAAATCCATAAGGTTCAGTTCTACATAAGGCCCACTTTCATAACTCAAGTTATAATTTACACTTAATATTTCGAGTCAAAGTCCAAATTTTAAATAATGGTAATAATTTGTCATAAATGCCAAAAGATTAAATACAATCAAAAAATCGCCACAATAATCAGTAAACAAAAACAATAATTATATCTCGCGAACTTGAGACGGGAAATAACAAAACATGTAAACTGTTTTCCAAAAGTCGGTACCGAAATTACCCCAATATTTGCTAAATAAACAACCCATTTTTTTTCTTTTCTTTTACCTCTGTTTTTTATTCATTTTTCTTTGTCTTATTTTTCAAATAACTGTCTTCCACTTTTATCTTTTCTCGAACAAACAAAATATTCGCATTATTTTTCCCTCCAAATTTCTAAATAACTTTCTTCAACGAAAAAAAGACTTGACAAAATAATCGATTTTGCCGAAAAGTTAGAAACATTAATTTTGAAACCCAAAACAATTTGAATAACAAAAAAAACTAAATAATCATGTCTAAACCAAGAAAAAGTTATGAACGCGAGCAAGAAGGGAAGAATGAGAGGGTCAAGATGGCTTTGGAAAGAGGACTGTCATATCGCGAGATCCAACTGCTTTGTGGAGTTTCCAAAACAAAAATAGCTAGTATCAAAAGGGGAGAGGAGACAAAGCCAAAGAAGATGGGAAGACCAAAAAACATCAGTGTTAATGTTGCTCAAAGTGTTGTCACACGAACATTAACTAACCCATCTTCTTCTTGTCTTATGGTTTCCAACGATGTTAAAGTTTCTCTTTCAAGTGTCTATCGTCTTAGAAAAGAGAACAAATTTGTGTTTGCAAAGCAGAAAAAAATGCCGGCTCTGAAACCATTACACATAACAAAAAGACTTATTTTGTTAAAAAAACAGCTGGCAAACGCAAAGCGTATTTTGACGTGGACCAAAAACACTCTCATTTCCGACGAGAGTCGTTTTTGTTTATACTCTGACGGAAAATATGTTTGGAGAAGACGTGGAGATCTTGATAAGGAGGCGTTTGTGCCAACTCCCAAGTTCAATCGGGGTGTGATGGTGTGGGCAGCAATTGGGCGTCATTTCAAGTCAAAACTCGTTTTCGTCGACGGAACACTGAACGCGGTAAACTATCAAAAAATGTTGGCCGAATCAAGAGTGTTTGAAAACGCGAAGAAGGTGTACAAACACGGGATGGTGTTTCAACAAGATGGTGCAAGACCCCACACAGCGAAAAACACAATTGAATGGTTTGAAGGCTTGGACCCGAAGCTCATGGTTCGACTACTGAAAGAATGGCCTGCAAATAGCCCCGACCTCAGCCCAATTGAACACTTATGGCAATACTTGGACACCTTAGTAAGAAAAGAAAAGGAAATCTTCGAGAACATTGAAGAACTCAAAGAGGCTCTTGAAAGGGCTTGGGATTCAATACCTCTTGAGACAATTGATAACTACATAATGTCGATTCCAAAAAGGTTTGAATTGTGCAAGGAAAACAACGGCGAATTTATCGGACACTTGCTTTAATCCGTTATCAATTTTTTTTATTTTTTTCTTTTTGAACTCGTTTTATCATTTCTTTGTTCGTCTTCAGAGGATGTTTGTTTGTTTTTTTATATGTATTCAAATTGTTTTCATTATTTTGACTCGAAAAGAAATAACTGTCTTAGAAAAATTGCAAAAGACTTCCCAACGTTTCGACAAATGCCCGAAAAATTACGAAAATAATATAATTTGTTTGTTTTTTTAGGTCAAAAAAGTCGGTACCGTTTTTTGTTTTTTTTAAAAAGATAAATAATAAAACAAAGTCTTTAATAACAATAAAACGGGAAAACAGCTAATAATAGTTTCTCAATTTTTAGCGGTAGTACTTACTTTTGAAATACAGTTTATTAAACTTGTTCATATTATGATTATATACTTATTGAAATTATTTCCGAATCCGTCTTTATAACACAATAATTAAAATTTACATTTAAATTGATAATTGTTTTTTTATCAAAATGAAAATTGAAAAAGTCGAAAACACTGATTTTCTAAAAATGTGATTTTAAAATAACAAATTTATAAATATTTTTGTAATTTATGCAATTATTCAAATTTATTATAATAACAAAGTTAATCATGTTGTGTATATTTTAATATGATTGTTTCATTTTGATATTAACTTGTGTTTTAAACAGATTTACAGTTCTGAGGATGGCAATTATTTTCTGAGGATGACAGAAATAGAAAGTTTACACTTTTACATCTGTCTGAAATGTATATTGAGTAAGTTACTATTTTTAAATATGGGAACACGTCATTTCACTTTTTAGATGTTTAAGTCTGTGTTGATAATGTCTGTTTGTTACACGACTTACCATCATCAGAGATATTTATAGCACTGCCACTATTGATTTTAAAATCTATATTTAACATTGTATTTTCAAAGAATTATTATAAAGTGGGTTTTGATAATTGATTATATCAAAAATCGTCAAAACACAACAAAAACGCCAAATAATATATAAAATTGATTAATAAATTGAACACATTTCTATTGAGAATTGATATTGTATAAAAAATAATATAAACATATATTTCTTGTGTGTATATGTTTTGAAATATAAATAAAACCGTTTAAATCAAAAATGATTTTATTTTAAAAATTTGTTTATTTATCAATCATTGTTTTATCGATCTTCAAAACCTCGCGTTTTGAATTTGCGCAAATACATAAATTGTTATCGCATAGAGTATACGTTATTAATACGTTATTTGCTATCAATTTTTATTGTTTGAAATATCATGAATTGATTTATAATAAATTGTATTTTTTGTGAAAAAGATTAAAAATTGTTTGATTAATTTGTTTTGTGATTTTGATTAAAAAATCGACTTTTTCGATAATTTAAATGTCTGTCAAATGTTTTCATTTAAACCAAGGTTAGTCAAGTGGTAAATCAAAAAATAGAAATAGATTAATTTTTTGTAAAAATCAACTGAAAGAATCATCTTTCAAAAAATCCATAAATAGCATTTTTAAAGAAAATCACATATTTCAAAATATAATTTGATCTTAGGCAAAAAAAATCTAAATTGAAAGAAATTATGTTTAAGATATTTACCATCCTCAGAAAAATTAACAATCCTCATGAATCCCTTAAGTATGATCGAATAATGACGGTATTTTTTTGTTTTATAAAAAATCTTTTGCTGTTAAAAAAATAAGTATTGCAATTTGTTTTTTTAAAAATAACTGAAAAAACCGTTTACATTTCTGACGACATTTTTTTGCAAAGATCTTAGTAATATTATAATAAGACATTATAACAAAAACAACTAAGATTTATGAATCAATTCATTTCTTGACTTTTTTAAATTCGAGAATACGTCGTGAATTAACACACAACTTATTAATCGTCGTTTTGTGTCGTTTACGCGCACATTTCCGCGACACTAAACATAGAGAACATATGTTTTAGCAACAATGCCTCTTGCAAGCATCACACCTCAACTTTGTCTTTTCGAATAATACATTTTGTTCAATTTTTATTATTCGTTAAACTCGGCCACGGAAACGTGCGCGTAAATGACACAAAACTGCAAGTCAAAAATAGAAGGTCAGTTATACATTTGAACACAAGAGTTTTACAATCGACAAACTTTCCTTGATTTTTTTTAATTTTTATGTGCTTGTAAACTGTATTTCAAAACTCTGTACCGTTTCCAAAATTTATATAAACCCTTCACCCCAATTTCCCATTATTTACTATTTTTTATTCGTTTTATTTTTTATTTTCCTGTTTGTTGAACCAACAACAGTACACAGTTTTAAACCCTTAAAAACCAATACAGTTTTAATTATCGAACAAAAAATCGGGAAATCACCCAAATATTGGGTAAATATTCCCCTATTTTCCAGGTTCGTTATTTGTTAGTGATCCATTGTGTAACTAAACGTGAGTAAAACAACATGTTTCAAATAAACACAAGATAAACGACAATATAACAATAAACTAATGTTGTGATGAAGGACATTATTGCATCAAATGATGCAACACTTTAATTAATAATAAGTTTTTGTTTATTTCAACAATTAAAAAAGTCATCGATAACATAAAAGAAACATTAAACAATCAAGGTTATTAATGAAAAGAGTCTAAAATAAAATAAACAATTCAAAAATATAAAACTTTTCAATCGTATAGTCTTAACCGATTTATCTTCTCTCAATACTTGTTTTATTCATTAGTACTTTTTATTTTTATCCAAAACACAACTTGGTGATTCTATAAACATAGACATCGAATTATAAAGTTGAATTATACGTTTTTTGGCAAAAAATGTGTTATGGTAATCAAAATTTTTATCCCAAGTTTGTTTTTTATATTTTTCAAGTAAATTTTTGGTGCAAAATTTCTTTGTCAAGTAAAATTAAATAAACTCAGGTTCGTTATCTTGTTTTTTTCGAGTAAATATTTATAACAAAAAATGAGGGTTAAGCAAAGGAAAAATTATTTAGGAATAATAAGTCCAATAAATTGGGTCATTCCAGTACAGAGTTTTGAAAAACAGTTAATATATATATAATTATATACATTATAATAACTTCAACAAAAAAAAACAATAGTCTCTAGTGACCGTAAGTTGTTGAAACACACAGAGATTGTTGTAATAATCTTTTTATTGACATTTTAACAATTAACCATCTTTGTTTTTATTTTTTAATATTATTACCATATACAAATTGATCTATTTAAACGAAAACTTTTTGTTTTTATTGTTGTATTTTGTTGAATCAAAAGAATGTCAAAGTCGTCCTTAATTACAATAAAATACAAATCACTCATATCTTTTTATTAAAAAACAATTTTAATGCGTTCACTTTTTGTGTCTATCATGTTTATTACTACACTATTGATATAGCATTTAAACGGTGTCTTAAAGTTTAAAGGGTGTTTGTAATTTAATTATTAACACTTTTACTATTCTCCCTTTTATTTTTTATAGACTAAAAGAAAAAATTGTTTTTTTTGCCATCCTTTGGAAAAAAAAACTCCACCAAACCTGTTTCATTTTTTGCAACTTTTTTGCCACACAACTTTTTCTCTAAAAAGACTATAAAATAGGATACAATCCCGAATATTTAGTCATTTATTTATAACGGAAATATAAATGCATACAAAAACGGGATATTAGAAATAAATTAAAAAAGTTTCCCGTTTATTTTAGAAACAACCGATATATACCAGGTTTACAACATTTGTTTTCTTTACTGTACCTTAAATTTTCTGACTTTGTTTTTGAAAAGCCTCATCAGTTGATTTTTCTGGGCTTTCTATTCATATTCGAAAGCATGAGGCCAGCCGGATAGTCTCCATTATGACTTGCCAATATATGCACTAAAAATCGTCGTTGTTGGAACGCAGAGCGATGGCAAAATCGTTCATTGAGGCGCTTGTCGGCTTCTGGTTCAATCTTGTCGAGTTGACAACCGGAAAAGTCGTTATTGATTTTGTAGATGTTCAACAACCAAGACATAAAAACACCTTGGTTTTTTTTTCAGGGATTCATCAACAAACCGAAAATAGAGTGCACAAACAAATTGGTCGACGACTTTTGGGCAACCATAAGATCCGCAAAAAATGCCACAGGAAACGTTGGTGAACGTGGCAACAAAGTTGCTGCAATGGCAGAACAACTGTTTCAAGTTATCAAAAAAAGAATGACATTGTTTGTGATTGGGAAGATAAAGACATTCGTTGTTCTCTCAGTCAGAGACAACCTCCTCTTTTGGCTATTCGACGGATTTCTTGGCCTGGATCCAGACAAGTACAAGCAACTATTCAACTTCAGTGAAGAGGCGCCAAGAAAGCAGGTTGCTGAAATGTATCTGCAACACGCTGTCTGCGAGCAAAACTACATAAAGTTTACTAAAATGATAAAAAAAACTTAACAACTTCCAACTCAAAACACAATTTAAAAAAACGAGAAATATATTTTATTAGTCTTATAATCCATTCTGTTTTTTGTTTTGTTTTTTAAAATAAAATAAAACAAAAAAGAACATATAATATTTAGTAAAATTTTTTTAATAAAAATCGTATATATTATTATTGTATATGAATACTTAATAATTATAGTTTAAATATATGTATATTTAACTATTTGATAAACAACTTTCTATTTTCCATCTTTCGTTATTTGTTGGGCAAAAATATAATTTTGGTTATTTTTTCAAGAATTAAAAAAACAAAAATAAATCTAACGTGTTAAGTTGCTTGTGTTGTTTTTAAAGAATTTTACAATAAAGTTGGAAAAAAAACAATGTGTTGTTTATACCAAATTATAAAAATTGCTGTCAATTTTTTATCTATTATGTTATATAACAAAAATTTATTTTGTTATCTTATTTTTCTTTCAATCGTTCTAATTTGTCTTTTAATAAATACAAAATATCATAAATGTTGTTTTTAATTTTTATTTGTTTTTTATCAACTTTTGGGACAAATAGAAAGTTTATTTACTTTTAATCGAATACTGTTTACACTTTAATATAAAAGCAGATTTTACAATTTATGCTAATTTTTATTAATTAAAAAATAAAATGACATATTTCACGATTTTTTACAATGAAAAAAAGATTTCATAAAAATGAAAAATTACTCACACGATTGCGCACCCTACCGATCAAACATTAAATACCGCTATATAAAAAACTATATTTAGTTTAAAATTAACTGCTCTTGAAAGGTTATTTTGTAATAATATTACAATGAATGAGCTGGATATTATAAATTACCTACATGGTTGTTAGTTGTCTTGATTTTAGTAAGCTCACAAAAATTTTACATTTGCCAAACCCTTAAAATTATATACTTTTTCAAATTAAGACTTTCATTTAAACTACTGTATATATAAAAAACAAATTTTTATTTTTTTGGTCCAAAAATATTTATTTAACACGTTGGAATTTATTGTGTGTTTTTTCCCAGAAATTTTTTTATTAAAACACAACATACTATTTTGCCGAACCATTAAAACATAAATATTTTTGAATAACATTTTAATTGAATAATCTCCAAAATTCAAAACGATAATATCTGATCAGTCCTTAATGAAGATGATTCCACTGATTATTAAAAACTAAAAGTTAGAACAATAATAATTTGTGTTGATTTTTTTTAGTAATTTTAACCTTGAATATTATGATGAAGATACTTAATTTTAGCGATAGTTGTCGAAAAAGGTACATTAAAGAGCCAATATCTCATCGTGAGAGTTTGTTCATTTGATTTTTAAAAAACACTCAATACATTTATTATGAATCAAGTTGATGAAATGTATGAGTGGTAGACAAAAAGTTTATTACAAACGTTCGTCGTCTGAGCATTCTGTTTTTTATTATGAAACACTCTGAGATGGTTAAAAATAACAATAATTCGAATATCTTATTAATTTTGGTTTTCATTTAAATATTAATTATACTGAAATCGCAAGGATAATAATCCACAAAAGAGCTCAAACGGGGGTTTCCTTTATTTTTTATTTTTTGCACTTGGCATAATTAATAAAACACCAAATTTTTTATTTTTTCATATAAAACTAAAAAAACAAAGCTCCAACGTGTTAAACAAATTTGTTTGTCAAATTATAATTTTAAATTTATTACATTTTTATTATAACATAAATTGAAAACAATGTTGATAAATATATCAAATTATACAAGACAAAAAGTATTTAATTTATGATTTTGGTTTTCAATGATGAATTCAAAGTTTTTTGTTTTTGTAATTATAATAATATCCAAAAACACCAAGAATTCAATTATGCATTTCCAATTTGACTTGTTATTGGATTACATGGCTCGGAGCAAAATAATATCCAAAATAATATATAAAAAACCTAATTTATTATTAAAAATATTTTTTATAATAACATTCTTTTTAAAAAATTACATTGTTATCAATTCATTTTAATAATTATGAATATAAACATGTTTAAAATAAATAAATTATTTATATTATAAATTTATTATTAAAATAACTATAATAATTTATTAAAAATTAATTACATTTGGAATATTTCGAATAATTTTTAAAATTGTTTTCATGTTACATACTATTTTTAAAAATTAATTTTAACATATATTATATTTTAATCTTAAAAAACGTTTAAAAACAAGCATTTTTACTCTATTGTCAAAATGTACTTGTTATTGTTGTTGTCCACAATATCACTGGCAGACTTTGACTTGACCAAAAACGATTTCGAACTCTTCAAAGAATTTGAAGTAAAATACAACAAAAAGTATTCTACACCTTCCCAACGTCTTGTTCGTCTCTCAATTTTTAAATCGAGTCTCAAAGATATTCGCAGGCGAAATTCAAAGCGAAAAACGCCATCAGATGTAATTTTTGGTATAAACTATTTCTCTGATTTAACTCCACTGGAAATGGGATTAAACCCACAGAAGTATATGAAAACACAAATAAAAGATTCGACTTCAAAAAGTGGTAAACTTCCCATTCTTCCTCCTGGGGACGTAATTCCAGACCATTTATCATATTGTGGACATTATGTTCAAAAGAACACAGACCATCCAAAAATTGATCTTTGTGGCACTCCACTTGACCAAAAAGGGCGTGGGTGTTGTTATGCTGCTGCTATTGCCAATCATGGCCAAATTTTATATGCAAACATGACTTATTACAAAAATAACAAAGACGAAACCAAAATAGAAAAGTTGCTTTTTACTCCACAGCGATTTATTGATACTAAACATCCAATACCAGGTAGTCATAATAATAACAGATGTTGTGGTGGAAATAGTGGTATTGCTATCGAAGGTCTGCGAACTTATTCGTTGGAAAAAATTACCCCTTTTCTGATGGAACTGATGCTTCTTATGAGATGAAACCGCCATGCATTCCACGTGGAGACCAAAATGCATCAGTTGAGATATACTTGCGAAATAAAGAATATCAAATTTTCACAGTAAATCAAGCAGGTAGCCACGAACAACAGGTGTTGGCATTAAAGAAAACAATACATCATTATGGCCCTGTTTTAGTAGCAATTATGGCTTTTGAAACTGGTTATTATCATTACAAAGGTGGTATTTTCACGTTTTCAAAAGAGACATGCAAAAATATAAATATAGATCATCAAGTGATATTAGTTGGATACTGCAAAGACAATGAAACTGGACAGGAGTACTTTATAGCAAGAAATACTTGGGGTACTTGGTGGGGTGAAAATGGGGGATTTGGTAAAATTTCAACCGAAAATTTATGTGGGATGGCACAAGATGATACTAAAGGATATTTATCACAGAATTATATCTTTTATTCTGGTAATTATAAACTCGGTCCAAATTGCAAGACGTGTAATACAAAAAACTTGGTGTGTACTGTGTGTAAAGCCGGAACAAAAATGGATAAAAGAGGAGTATGTGTTGCGCCAGGACAATAAGATTTTAAAAATGTCGAACCATAAAGCACGAGTATTTTTAAATGAAATCAATTGATCGTTTTTTATTTATATTATATGTTGTCGTCTATATCAAATAATAATTATATGGTATTTATATTAATAAATGTATGGTATTACATAGATAAAGTATTAAATTTAAATTTATATATTAATATAAAATAACGGGATTTGTGTTTCCGAAAAACAAGTGACTAATCCCAAAAGTGCATTTTATTATAAAAAGTTGATAAATTTAATGTCAAAGTTTTTAATTGTCAAGCCTTCATTTATAATCAAATAAAACAAATAACAAGCGCGAAAGTATCACATAATATTGATATACTGATGGTGTTGTCACGACAATAACTAGAATAACAAAACCCAAAACTATTAAATGTTTGCTCTAATTTATTTTTTTAAAAAAGAAATAGAAAAAAGGCAAGCGCACAAACATTGTTCAAACTATAGTGTATTTAATCGTGTTATCACAACAATAATAATAACAGTCAGAATTATGAAATATTATCTTTATTTATTGTTTTGGCGTTTTCAGAAACTTTTTATTTTATATTTTTGTCTATATAAGAAAACAATGTGTTTGTTTTTAATTGAAAATGATATTTTAACGAAACTGATATTTGTTACTAATCGACATAAACAACACCATCCAAATTTACTAACGTGTTTATCGTTGTGTAATTTGAGCTACAACATTGTGTTTGTGATGCGAAGTATCGAGTTGAGGTCAAATCAAATAACAATATTAATTTAAAAAAAAGGTGGCTAACATTTCGATGAATTGATATTGTACGAAAATAATTTAACTGAATTGGTATTTTTTTCAAAATAAAATTTGTACTTCCGATTATTTGTTTTTTTTGTTTTTATAAACAAATATAAAAAAACTTTAAAAAGTACTAAAAATACAACAGTACCGACTTTTGAACTACAGTTTATTATCAATTATTATTACACCACTTGTGTAATAAATTGGCTAATAAAGAATTAACACAAACTTTTAAATTTAAAAAATGTTTTAAGATGGACCGGGTGATTATCCATGTCATGACATACCAGAATGTTATTAAAACGAAGCTCGTTATGAAAGATATGCAAAAGAAAAAGAAGAACAAGAACAAAAAGTCAAAGAACACAAAGAAGAAAGTAGAATACAAACTGCACTTGGTTTATGTGCTAAAAAATATGGCATAGAAGGATATTCCGCAGAAGATCTCGTAGAAAGAGAAAGATTAATCGCAAATAAATGTATACCATATACAGAAGAAGATCTTAAACATTTTGAGGCTGTTGGGTGTATTCCCCAATTTTCTTAATCAATGCAGTTTTTAAAATTGTTAATAAAATTGTGTGATAAAAAACTAAAAATTACACAATATACATATAAATAATTAAATTTTTTTAAAAAAATCAACATCATCAAAACACCTTATACAGATGATAAAAAACTTATTTAACTTTTTTATTATTGTTTATCGTTATTTTAGTTTTAAATAATTAGATTATAACTAAAAGTAATATACTAAATATTACTTTGGACAGGAAAAATATAGACATAACTTATTAAGTTTAATAGTATTTAATACTTTACATTTTATTTTATTAATATCAACTGTATTGTTAAAAACAAGAGGACATGTTTAAAAATACAAAAATGGGTATTTATTCTTTTTTAAATATACAATTCGATATTTTAATCTGACAATCAATTAATTTAAAAAACAAAAATTTAATTCAGTATCATTTAAACAAAATAAATTATTTTAAAAGATCTTCAAAAAAACACAATTTATAACAATATAATATTGTTGTTAAAAATATAATTTAATCATTATAATGTAATATTTAAATAGTGATAATTAAGTTTATAACATATTTGAACAATGTGTAACAAAGTTTTTATTTATTTCTGTATCTTGTTAAAAGTTATTGATTAATTATTGTTATATAATTATACTGAAATTTTCACAATCATTAACTATTCAAATATATATGAAATGTTATATATTACACAATATTTAAATATGTTAAATATATACATTTTAATAAATAAACTACACAAAATACAATAGTTTTTTATAAACATTGAAAAAAATTAATGTTAGATGTTAAGCTACACAATGTGTATAAAATTTCTAATTTAATTATACACAAAAAATAAATAAATTATATTATAAATGTAAAAAATGGAAATATATGCGATTGAAAAGACTTGTTTATTTACACAATTTAATTGAAATATAATTAATTATTCAATAAATACTAATTTGACTTTAATTTTAATATTTGAGAGTAAAAAGTGTGTATAAATATAATATGAAATCCATCAAAAACAATGGAAAGTGAGTTGACAACACTCTCAACACTCTGCGTTGAAGCAGCAAAAGCGGTGGCAGAACTCCACGAAGCAAAGGAAAAAGACAATTATGTTGACGACAAGTCACTTGACATTTCACAACGAATTCAAAATGCAGATGTATACTTCGACAAACTTTATAAAGAGTTCAAAAGAAAGAAAGATATTGCAACTTCATTCGACACGTTCATTGCCACTTTTGAAGACACATACACCAAATTCAAAAAAGAGTTAGCTTCATACAGAACACTTGATGATAACAACAAGTTGACTGAGATATGCAAACTAAGAATGGCACTACACGAGGAGAAGTACAAAATGGAGACAAAACAATATGAAGACATAATCAAAAAAATCCAAGAAGCTGAAAACACCAAAATGGATGAAATAAAGAAGTTTATAAATTCAAATTTACAACAAGACGAACATAATGAACAACACAAAAAAGATGAAAAGATGGCAAAAACAGAGAAAGTAGTAAAAGAAAAAGAAGAAAAAACAACAAAAATTAACCAAAAGGTAGAAAAAGAAAAAGCCGAGAGAATGGAACGAGAACACATCACATTTGAAGAGAAAGCCAGTCTTGAGAAATTGACAGGTCATAAACTTGGTGCTGTTTTGTTCGACTCTAACAAAGAAAGTTGGTCACTGGGCACATCTATGTTAAATGCTCGAGTTATTAATGAAAGCAATTTGTGCTTTTTGATAGAAGACACAAATCACAACAAGTTTGGTGGCGTGTACACAGGCAAAATCACTATTATAGTAGATTATATGTCCAGTAATAGTTCATACATCTTTTCACTTGTGAGAAATGGCATTTTAAATCCAATAATGTTTGGCAAAAGCGGCGATTGCCCGGATAAAGAATTATATTTAGATTCTCAGAACAAAGATATACTTTTTGAATTTGGTGATGATATATGTGTCCGCAAGAAAAATCAAATATGAAGTAGTCGTTGCTCGCCCATGGTTTACACGGCGTTGGAACAAGATTTAACGGATTATGATACATTTACAGTTAAGAATATTGTCATCTTCCAACTTAATTGAATTTTTATTCAATTTTATATATATTTTAACAAATAACAACATGTTTATGCTAAAATGTCGTTTAAATTTGTTATCAATAAAACAATTAACCAGTGAATTTCTGCTAATCATTTTTTTCGTTATAAAAACAATTTTAAATATAACTTTTTTAAAATATCATTTAAGCGTTTCCAAAATAATTATTGCCGAAAATGTGGTATAATAACGTACGAATTTATAAAGAAAATGAACATTTTGGTTATGAAATGGTGACGTGGGTAATTAGGATTGTGATTTTGGAAACCTCTGATATTATTAACAATTTATATTCTAATTTAAAAACAATTTAATTGTTAATAATAACTTGAATATTATTACAAATCAGAGTTTGTTTTAAAAATTCAGCTTAATAAAGATAATAATCTAATTGTATTTTTTATGTACATATATAAGTCTAAATTTACAACAAGTACCAAGGTTTTATTTTACTATTTAAAAACTGTTCTAATAATGAATAATTTTTTGTTAATTGTTTTTAAATGATGGTTCAAATTTGTAAATACAACTGTATAAATAATATTAATTATTCGTCGAAACATTAGCACCACACCTGCAACTTTTGTTCTATGTCTAGGATGTTTTGAACAACAAATTCAATTGTTTCTATTCAAAAATAAAACATATTTGATTAAAAAATAAATTAAATTATTCATATTTTAGAATGTTTTATTGTATAATTTTACTTAACACATATTCGCTATAAATAATTTGATTACTATTTACTATACACCGTTGTGCTAATTGTACTCAGTTAATTATTTACTCTGTCAAACATCTTTTGCATGACATCCACAACTTCCTCGCTTGTGATTCTTTCTTTCCGTTTTTGTGCCCACATCTCTTCAAGTAAACGTCTTTCTTTATAACTCAAACACTTGTCATCTGGTCGCTTTCCTTTAGAAATCAACTCAGGAATTTCAAAGAAGTATTTCACGTTTTCAAAAGCGTCTTTCCAAGTAAATGCCTCAAAGAAAGTAATTCCAAGTGAGTACACATCCGCAGCAATTGAGTACTTCTGTCCATTCAACAACTCGGGCGCCATATACTTTGGTGTTCCAACGTCCTTTGTGAATGTCAAATTTGACATTAACAAATTTACGTTTCTTGCACTTCCAAAGTCTGAAAGTTTAGCGTTGACTTCAATTATACTGTTTAATTCAACAACAAGAATATTTCCTGGCTTGATGTCTCTATGAAAAATTCCATTGAGGTGTTAATAGTTGACACCCTTTGTAGCGTCCAATAAAATTTTGTACCGAATTTTTTGTGGTAATATTTTGTCGTTAGAATTTTGCACATCATTTGCACTATTTTTCACTTTATAACTTTTAATGATCTGATCCAGACTCCCATTTTTGATATATTCCATGACAATCATGTGCTTTACACTTTGATATACGGCTCATATGAATTCGACTATATTTGGATTTCGTATCTTTTGTAACATGTCGACTTCTGTTGTAAACTCGTCGTCTTTGACATTTTTAAATTGTCTGATCTTCTTCACTGCCACTGTGCGCCCTTTATATGTTGCTTTAAAAATGATTCCAACACAGCCTCGACATATTTCAATCATGTCTGTGATGCTACTGTCGTCAATCCACGTTGAAAGTGCTGTTGAAAATATGAGTGGAATTCTCTTAGTCAACTCAACACCGCGTTTTAGAAAGACCCAACTCAATGTCAAAGAACTTTTAAAATCGCCGGAATACGTCGGTGAAATTTCAATTGTGAAAAGACATGTGTCTTTTGGTCGTAAAGTGACGACTTTTGGTGAGACGGTGATTTTGTAACTTTTGCGTTGCATGTACACCAACTGCAGCTTAACAATAGATTTTGATTTATTTGCAAATATAACCGTTTTTGTACTCGTTCTATTAACTGGTAGGTCAACACCAAAATCCAATTGAGATGAAGTTGTGTATATATTGTCTATTAATGGTTTCATTTGTTCTCTAACACTCCGTATTGAAGAGATTCCTTTCTTCTTTCTCTCCACATTAAGATGATGTCTTTGTATAATATATAATCCAATAAAACTCATTGGTATAGTAAATATGAATAATAAAAATATACATCCAAATATTACTATAAGAAGAATTTTAGTCAAATTCATTTTGTCACACAAATATTTGTCATTACTGGATTTGTACCAAAAGTTGCATTTCTTACACATCGAGTTAGTTATTAATATACAGTTTTCTATATATAACCGCTCTGTGCATTTACCATTGGATAAAACCATGTTATTACTACACTCATTACAATAATCTGCTGAATTACAAGAGAAGCAATTTTGCTTGCATTGAATACAACGCAACTTACTTTTGTAATACCCTTCAGAGCACTTCAAACACCCCAAAGTCTCTGATAATTCGCCACAATTTGTGATGTCATACACACTCTCACAAACTTCGGTTTCATTCATAAAATACGTGTTATCACACTTCTCGCAAATTTGGTCGTTTTTACATATAACACATGGATATGGACATTTCACACAAGTTCCACTAGTAGTACTATATCCATTAATACACTGCGAGCATTGCCCATTCGCATCATACGAAGTACAAATCCCTTCAAGTGCAAAAATGGTGAGACACTTCCCATTTGAGAGGACTGTGCCTGTGATGCAACTTTGACACTTCTCAGAGTTCTCTGTACATTCAGTGCACTTTGTGTTGCATTTGCTGCACTTGTTTTCTTTGTCAGTGTAATACCCCTTTGCACATCGAAGACATCCAATTGGTGATAACAATTCACAATTATCACTTTGTGCGATGGCGCCTTGGTAACACTTTCCATGTAACAGAACATAATCAGACTCACACTGATAACACACATCTTCAATAAAATACAAACACTTTGTAATAGAAGTAAGGTACCTACCATTCTCTGATAATAAAAAGTGATCTGGACACAATTTTAATACTTCTGATGTGTTTAATGTTTTTATTAAAATCACACAATTTTGTGAGGCGTCAAGTGCATACCCAGAAATGCATTTGGTGCATTTTTTCTTGTTACACAATTCACAGTTTAAAAATGTTGTTTTACATAAAAAACAAGTGTTTTGGTTATTATAGTGCCCATCCGCACAACTAACTATAGAACGTGAGTATACTATCTTCTCTCCAATTCCTTTCAGTTGACATTTTCCATTAATTAAAAATGAATTTGACTCGCATATAAAACACTCATTAAACGAACAAGATAAACATAATTCGTCACACTTTTTAAATTCGTGTTTTTGGTAGTCAAAAAATCCGTTCAATTCGACACAAATTCCGCCATATATTTGTTTACAAAACTGTTTTTTAATACAGCTACCTGCCATGTTCATAAAATAGCCATTTTTACATTGTATAGCATATGTTTTATTAACACAATCTGTTGAATTATTTCCACATTTAATATATTTGTTATCCTCAAAATACATATAAGAAATGTACTTCCCTCCTTTTTTATTTTTTCCTTTCATAATATTGTTGTAGTAATACACGGAGTCGTAATCATTTCCATTTGAATATTCTAAATATTTTTTACTCATTAAAAGAATTCCTTGAACGTTTTCATAACCCTCAAATGTCGTGTACAAATCATCACTAATTAGATACACTACAAGGGGAATATTTGACTTCTTATATGTCCATATCGTTCGTTTCAAAACAGACAAAATTCACAACTTTATTTGTAAACTTTGTCTGAGTGTCTTTGCAATTTACTGTAAAAGTGATTTCTGAGCGGCTCACAATCACAGATTTTGCAATATAATTTGTACAGTACGGAATTTGCTCTTTCAACAAATTTTTCTTTTCGATAATTCCAAAATTTCCTTTGAAAAAACATTTTTACATTTATCCACAACAATATCAACTAAAAAGTCTTGTTTGAAGTCAATGTAGACTTCTTCTATATCCGACCCAATACTAATGTTTTTAACTTCAGAGATGACAAGCATTGGATGTGTTTCATTACTCGGGTATGGGCAATGTGGGTGAGTAAAAGATGTGTACAAATTGTTAAATTTGAAGCTATTATTGAAATTACTGTCATTAATATGGCAGTAGACCTCTGTTGGGAAAATTACCCCCTTTAGGGTTTCTTGTTTTTCCAAAATTCGAGGAACAATTTGGGAAATGTTTTTAAAATTATTTTTAAAACTGTTTTTGGCTGTTTCAAATTCTCCAAATAAAATTTCGTCTTTGTTTTTGACAAAATTGTTTTGGTTTTGAATAAGAGTGGCGTATTTATCAGGACAGTATCTTATCAATCTTCCATTTGACACAATTAGAAAATTTGTTAGGTACTCGAAAGGTAGTATTTTGTAATTGATCGACATGAAGTCGAAACAGTTTTCTGAGGATATCAACAGTTTTAAAGCAAACGAAAAAGATCCATTTAATAAAGTAAAAATTGTTTTTTTGTATATGTCAGCGTTATAAATAAACAACTGAATTTGTGAAAAGATTATTAATGAATAACATTGTCGTGATTGTTCGTAATCCCAATTAGTCAGTGTTTTACAATACGTTTTATTAAGGTGTTTACTATATATAAAAAACACTGCTCCATTTTCAATTTCGATGTGTGTATTATGTTCAGAATTGCTGTTAAAAAAGAACAGCGAATTATATATTTCGTAGTGCGACCCACTTGGGAATATCCCACGTGATGAATTCCAAAACTCTATACACGAGTTGATCGTTAAAAAAACACTTGAACTAAATTCCACACTTGAGTAATTATTGAAAGAGAGTAAACAGTATGTATAAAATAAGTTTGGATACACTTGTGGGAGGTCTATAAATATAGTGACATTATCAGAATACTTCGATATTGAATTATTATAATATGTTAACATAGTGTTCAGTTGAATATCAGAATTCTTTTCGAAATACATTTGTGACGAATTGTAACACGTGAATTTGGCTGCCTCGAGATAGACAGAGTCTTTAAAAGTTGCTTTAGAGTAGTCATAGAGTGTAATAAAACTAATAGATTCTATTTTTGCGTGGTCATAAATTAAGAGGGAAGAATTGTTATTAAAAATAAGACCTTTTTCTTTTGTTAATATTTCATCTGTTGAATGAAAATAGCCGGCTATTATAAATAGAGAATAGTCTGACAATGTTATCCTATTTAAAGCAGTAACAGAAGTGCCTTGGTGTATTTCAAATTCTGATGTATTACATAGAACAATAACACCATCTAACACAACATTTTTATTATTTTTGTCATTTAAATTTGAATTAAAAATATTCAATTTTGCAACATCAAAAAAGTTAAATACGTTGAAAGTGATACTCCCTTCATTTGCATCAATTTTAAATTGAGAATTGTTTCTCATTTGTATCATGTTTGAGTGCAGTCTAAATTTATCAAAAAGTGTAAAAATAGAATCACCACTTGACATGGTATTTTCAACATTTAACACGCTCGAAGCTTTTATAATAACATTTGAATCTAAAACTTCAAGACTTTTGAAAGTACAAATTTTATTAAAAATTACTTCACTTTGATTAGTTGTTTTTATTATCAAATTATTTAACACATTTTCTCTTGAAAATATTAAAGTTGACTCTGATATTGTAAAAGACTTTTCTCTTGTTGTATTCAAAAATTGGACTTCGTCTAAAGTTAAAGTCGAATTTTTATTAATTTTGATATTTTCAAATTGTAGTGAAATTGAAGATAAAATAATTTGTGTGTTCTTCTCTGTTGATATTGTGTTGATGTATAAAACACTTTTTGAATTTGCTAAAAACGTCGTGTTTTTATTTAAATACAAATTGGTACATTTTACTTCGCACATTTCACATTTAAAAATTGCGTTTTCTTCAATAAAAATGTCTCCAGAAATAACTAACTTCCCTCTTCTTAAAATTGTGAGACTTTTAGTAACTTTTAAATTTCCAAAAACAAAAATAGACCCGTCACTGAACGAAATTTCTTGTATTAAAAAATCATTATAGATTTCAACTGAAGATCCTTCTGAGAGAGAAATTGGATAATTAGAAAAAGATTCCAGACCTTCTAATAATGTTTTCGAATTGATTAAAAATGAAATCCCATTTGAATAGTTGAGATTGTTATCAAGATATATTTTGTAGTTACCGTCAATTTCGATATGGGGAAAATTTTTAAATGCATCGGCGCATTCTTTTGTCAAAGTAAAGTTGTATGAGATATATAATATGTCACAATTTTCTATATTTTCTATGTTGTCTTCTTTGTTATTTATTTATGTCAATTAAATTGTGTATTAATAATATGTTATTATAAATAATGCATGTTAAATTTTTATTAATATAACAAACTAAGTACTTTAAAAACCATCTGTACATTGACTTGAAATGGGTTGGCATATAATATCGGCAGCTGCCAAAACCAAAATCACACCAAAAAAGAGGTGTTTCATATTCTGTATATTGTGTTTGATAATTTTGATTTTACGTCATTTTTTATTAACACGTCAATTAAACGTATTATTAAATAAGAAAACCATCTTTTTGATTTGAATAATTATAAATTGGTGTTTTTCAAATATGTAAAAACCTAAAATAATAGTTTTTCGATATCAAAGTATTTTATGATGTAAAATAATAATTGATTTAACTTTTGTTTTACTTTTCAAGAAAATAAGTGTGTAGTTATATAATGGAAAAAACCACTTTAAATAATATAATAAAAAAAACAATAATTAAATTATGGTTTGATAAATAGTAAAATATTTTTATTGGTTTATGTAATTTATATAAATCAAGTTATGAAAGTCTTTGTCACCTTTTTAGCGTGCTTGTAATGAAAAATAAACAACGACTCAAAAATATTCATATAAAAGGTAAAATTGAGTGATAGAAAATAATAAGGTAACAAACCACTTTTAAGGTGTTTTTTCTCGATATAATTTACAAGTTTTAATCTTCCTTAGTTTGGTAAAACACTAAGGAAGTGAAATAAAATAAAACACTTTATTTTATCATTATTTTATAATATAATTATAATATTGGTTTAATAATATTTTATAAATACTTTTTGAAAACTGATGGAAAATCAATTTAAAAACTATCTGTTTTTTTTTCAATAATTACACCCGTATTAAACTTATTCAAAACGAATAAATCAGCCTATTTATTTTATACGTCTTAAAGGTTATCTGGCACTATTAAACAATTAGAAAAGGAATGTTTCAAAAAATATTTAAATAATTAATCCATTTTTTTCCAATTTCTGATTTTATACCCATTGTTTAAACATAATAAAACCATATTTGTTTACTTGATTAAAAAATGTTCTTTCTTTATAATCATGAAAAAAGTAGTAAAGTTGTTCATATACATTTGGTTTATTTTGTGTAATGTTGAACAAAATAATTGAAAAGATAGTTATTTTTTTAAATAATATATCTTATACACATATGATTTACAACAAAAAGTTGTTGATTGAAAACACCAAATGTCGGTGTGGTTGCACAACTAATATCATAATATTTGATTGTTTGTTACATACATTTAAATTCAATATAATATCAACTTTTTTACATGACTATTACAAAACATCAAAACGTTACAATGAAAACTAAATCAAAAAAAATACTTTTGGAATTTTAAAAAAAACGATATATCCCTTGTTTTTCAATGAAGAATTTATATCAGAATTATATTTGATAATTTTTTTAATTTTAAAACCCTGTTTTTGGAAAGACTTATTTTGTATCGTTTAATATACTATACACAAATTTTTGAAATAAAAAAATAAACTTGAAAATAATAACAGGAAAAGTCGTTAAGTTTTCTTCACAAATAAAGTGATTTTTTTTCAACAAAAATACGATTTTAGGTTAAAATTTAGTATTAATTTGTAGTAAATTAAATTATTTTACTATTAATTATGTTTCCTTGTATTACCCATGGTTGTAAAAAAGTTTAAAGAGTTTTTTGCATTATTTCTTTCTAATATACACTCAAAATGAATAAGATATAAATAAGTTTACATTTTTTGGAACTTTTTGGTACTCCAAAGGTCAAGTCTGGAAAATATTTTTTTGTTGTTTAGTAAAGAGGAAAGTAAATTACCGATTTACAAAAATATAAGTAATTCTAACCAAAAGATCTTAAAATCTTTTGAATCGGAACAATCTCAATTGTAATTTTAATGATCATTTTAAATGCGATTTATACTAAATGAAAAATAGAAACAAATAAACTCTATTAACATACAATGGAAAACGAGTTGACAGCACTTTCAACACTCTGCACAAACGCAGCAAAAGCTGTTTCAGCCCTCCACAAATCTAAAAAGGAAAACAACTTTGTTGACAATAAGTCACTTGATATTGCACAACGTATTGAAAATGCAGAGGGACACTTCGACAGACTTGATGAAATTTTTGAAAGAAATAAGATCGTCACAACATCACTTAACACAATTGTGACTGATTTGGACAACATATCAAACAAAATCAAAAGCGAGATGGCTCTATATTCAACAAAGAATGATAATGAGAAGTTGTATGAAATTTACGACGTCAAAATTGCACTTTATGAAGAGAAGTGTAAAATGGACACAAAACCACTTGAAGATGAAATTAACAGAATCATTCAAGCAAAAAACACCAAAGTTGATCAAATTATGAAATCAGAAAAATTCATCAATTTAAAGAAACAACACGACGACAATAAAGAAGAGAGAATGAAGTGTAAACACATCACACTTGAAGAGGAAGTCGGTCTTGAGACATTGACGGGAATGAAAATTGCAAGTGTTGTGTTTGACTCTAACAAAGACGACTGGTCAATAGACACGTCTGTGTTTGACGAAAAAATTATGAACAAAAGCAACTTGTGCTTTTTGATTGAAGACAAAAATAACAACAAGTTTGGCGGTGTATTCACTGGTTATATCAATGATGTTAGCGATTGGCTCAACAGTGGCAGTTCTTACATTTTTTCACTTGTGAGAAAAAACACTTTGAAACCAAAAAAGTTTTGTAAAAGTGGAATTAATAACAATGAATTAATTCTTTGTTCTCAAGACAGTCGATTTCTTTTTGGATTTGGTTATAATAATAATGTTAATGATATATGTGTGCGCAAGAAAGAACAAAATGAAAGTTATTGCAGCCAAGCCACTTACACCGCCAAATCAAACGAGTTGACTGATAATGACAAATTTACGCCAAAGAGCATTGTTGTCTTCCAACTTGACTGACTTGTTTTTCACTTTTTGTTTTTGTTTTATTTGAAAATCTGCAACATGTTGACTGCAAAAGTGTCATTTTTGTAAGTTGCCATCACAACTAAAATAAATTACATAACTTTTTTTTTTACAAAATGTGTTTTTTGAAGGGTTGAATAAAATAAAAAAAATACAACCTTTTACCCCTCAAACCAAACATTAGCACAAACACTTGATTGGGACATCTTTGATGTTTCTAGTTTTTTAGTCATATTTCTATGTTTCTGGTATCTTCTTTGGAGATAGATTTACGATGTTGCAACTCGCCGAGTTTAATAAGTTACGATAGTTGCGGTATATATACTTATTGTGTCACGTTATGTAAATTGTTTATCAAAAGTCTGTACCTTGGTGACCTTAAATATATATATATATATATATATATATATATATATATATATATATATATATATTATTTATAATTGACTGTTGTTAATTGATGCACTTAACATTTTTTTTTATTTTTTATACATATTTTACAATAATATACAACTTTCAAGTTGATGTATCAACTAAAATTATATAATAGCTTTAAAATAATAAGTTTTTTAATATAGTAAGTTCATCAATTGTAACATTGTTGTGTTCAAATTTATAATTGACCCATAATTATTAATTTGCGGTTGTGTGTAATTTACGTTCACGTTTACGCGGCCAAGTTTACAAAGATTTAAAATTAAACCAATAAAATGTTTTGTCCGAAGAAAACAAATTAATATAAAATGGAAACGCAGACAAGAAGCGTTCATGTATCACACATTAATTTTCTGTGTCGAGTGTCGCGGAATGGTACATATAAACGACATAAAACGATGAATAATAAGTTATGTGTTAATTCATTAAGTGCTCTCGAATTTTAAAAATAAAAGACCTTAATAATTTTCAAAATTCTTTGTTGTTTTAGTAATATTGTTTTATTACTAATAACAATAAGACAAATAATTGTTTAATAATTTTTTATTTGAATCACTCAAAATTCATTTTTATTGTAAACTTTCCGTTTTGTTAAAATTGCTATTCTCTTTATTTTTTTGAATCTTGACTCAAGATTCTCGAGTAATATTCAACAATTTTACAATTTATTAATATATTATCAGATTATAACCATGGCTCGGTATTTTTTGCTTTTTTGCACTGAAAATATTTCTGGCAATTTTTATAAAAGTTGTTTAAAAACTCCCCTCATACTTACTTTTTTAATGGTATATTAAATAGTATATTTACCATTAAAAATTATTAATTGTATATAATAAAAATATTATAATAATATAGTTGTTTTTAATAGTTTTTTTAATAATATGATTATAATAATTTTTATTTTTTAATTGTTTTTTATAATGGTTAATAATATAATATAATAATAATAATAAATTAAAAAAATTTAATAGTATATAAATTAAATAATTAATCAAATAATTTATTATACAACTATAATAAATATACAAACATATAAACTATAACAATATAACAAAAATATAATGTTGTATTATTAATAATAATAAAATATATAATAAAAATAGTACATAATTTTCATCTCAAATAAATAACATTTGATAAACAATATATTTTGATATAACAAAACTATATTAATTATTAAAAACAACTACAAACTAATAGTATAATAGAATGAGTGATATATGCTTGAATAAAATAAACTATATATAAATAATATAATAAATTATTATTTATTAATATAAATTATTTTTTTTTGTATATTTTGTATAATTATATAATAAAAAAGCTTTATTATTAATATATTTAATTATAATTAAATAATTAGATAAAACAAACAATTTATAAAAATTGTGTTATATGTTTAACAAATATTATACTATTAATTTATTTTAATTCAAACTATTATTACAATTAATTGTAATTAATTTTTAATTATATATATTATTTGATTTGTTTTTATATAACTACAATTTATTGCAAATTTAATTATATTTATTAAGAATTACATATTATATTTTTTATTCACAAACACATGAAAATAATTTAAACCAAACCCACCTTACAAACAATTCAATTACTATCTGTGTTTATTATTCTTCTTTTGAATTGAGTTTCTTTTATATTATAGTATTATGGGTTTTAATAAATTTAGTTAAAACAAAACTATATGTTTTTATATTTTATCAATTTAAATTATGTGTTTATTATAAAACAGTCATTTACATGTTAAATAATAAAACAAATGTAATAATATTAAACTATTGTTTAAATGTTTATAATCTATTTAATTTATGCATTGTTTACACCAAAATATGTGTGATGATCATAATGATGATAGTGTTCTACCAAGATAACTAAACATTTTAGTGTAATAACGTGAATATGGGTTGGAGTATACACTCCAAATAGCAAACGTATTAAAAGATAAAACCAAATCAAACAATTGACTCAATTAATTCAATACACACTAACACACGTTTTAAATTTATACAAATAGCGCCACATCCCTTTAATTGTTTTTGGTTGTATTAAATATTTCCAAAGTGTAATACATTTAATTGTCATTGCTATTAGTCAACAACAACAACTTTTTATCCAAATAAATGTATTATTCAACGTTAAGATGTTCATTACTTATAATCATACTTTTTATACTGCAATTCTTATAATAATCAAGGCACCATATACCACAATTAGAATCCATTTTTTGCTTATTGTTGTTTTTAATAAACGGATTTGTTTTTTATTATTATTATTATATCTTTATAATAAAATTGTTAAATATAAACTAGAATCCAATTCAAATAACAAAAAAGCATTTGTTGTTTTTAATACAGTAAAACAACCTCTCGTATGCAGTTTGGAGTAGCATGTTTTTTGATCTCATTTGCTTGAGTTTAGAAAAAAATCTTTCAACATCAACGGAAGTTGGATAAACACACACCATGCACTGAACAACACTTTGTAAGGTTATCAATTTGAGTTGTTCCAGTACATCATAAACTTCTAGAAGTGTAACTCGTTGCCTGGTGTTTGTTAAACGCATAAGTTTTTCATGAAAAGTGCTCTGCGATTTTTTCACTTTTTTGATTATCAACTCCTTTTCAAAAGACGTCATTCTATTTACATAAGCAATAAATTTGGTGATTTCATCATTGAAGACCGAGCTAAATGTATGACTCTTTGTCATGTATTCAGGTAACAGGTTCTTTGTTATCACATCATCAGGAATATAAAAGACTTCTAAAAGTTCTGAAAAAAATGTGTAATTGGAGTTTCTCTTGAAAATTGAAGCTTCGACACTGCCTGTTCTCCAATTAACATTCGAATCGTTAACGCTATTCATGTTAACCGATTGACTAATTTGTGTAAATCTAAGTGATAATTGGCACTTCAGTCTATAAAGCACCCGAAGTACAAAAGAGTCTTTGACTTCCATTATTTCCCTTATATCTCTGAAAAAGACCCATGTGCCATCCTCCACCTCTTTTATGATTATATTTATATATAACATAAACATGTCGACACATTCAACACACTCGAAGAGCAGGAGACTGTCTTCTTGTAAAGAAGAGCACATAATGAAAAGGAGTTCAAATATTTTCTTCGATTTATAAAACACGTTTCTTATTGGTGGTGAATTAAGATTAAATGGAACTTGTCGTGCTTCATCAGAGTCCTCTTCTTCAGCATCATCACTTCCCAACATTTCTTGTCGTTGTTGTTCGTGTCTAAATTGTCGGTTCTTTTTTTGTTTTGACAGTTTTATTTTGTCTTCAAAGAATGTGAATTTGTTGGATGCAAGTTCAATTGATAACTCTTCATATACACTTGGAGTTGAAACGTAATTAACAACGTTTTCGTAGTTGTTTATAATTTCTGTGATATTTCTCGATATCCAGAACCAACGCGTGAAAGAATATGTCGAGTTTATATCATGATTAAGTCCACACTTGGTATTATAATCATTCAGACGACTTTTCTTACAGAACCACTTAATAAACACTTTCACAAGAAAAATTTCTGGTTCTTTTTCAAGGCCTTCTCCACACAATGCCAGTCGATGGGCACTACACCAGAACTGTTTGATGTCGGAGTCAATCAATTCTCTTCCAAGCGGAAGCTCTTTTTGTACCAATTCGTTCATTTTAATAGGCACACTGCCATTAAGTCCAGACCATGAAGCGATTCCATCTGACGTCACATTTACTATGCGGTGACAAATCAACCCCAAATCTGTCAATTTTGAAACCAACCATTTAGCTAGAGTCTCCGCATCCAATTCACCTTTATATTGACGAAGAAGTAGAGGCATAGAATAACAATTACGTCCTTTTATTAAACGTAACATGACGCAAAAGATTTCAACGTCATCTTTTGTTGTTGAATCCACGGAAATGGCCAAGCAGTCGTGAAGTTCTCTTTCATCTCTAATTGTACTCATTAAAACTTTGTTGGTTTCTTTGATTTGATTTACACTTGTTCTTTGGCTTATCGCTAAAGTTTTGGAGCGAGACAACGTTTCACGACTCAACGCCGCATGGCTAATCAAAATACATGTTTTAACAGCTTTCTTTTGTCTTTCAGACATCAAAGACTCATTAGTAATACTGTTAATAACATAGTCTGTTATTTTACGCTGTCTAACTTCCATCGCAAACAACCGTTTTTTGTTTGTGATTGTGTTTATTTCATCAAACAAACAATCAAAGGCTACAATGAACCGTTCCAAAGAGAAATCGCCGTGTTTATCATAAGAAAATTTTCGAACGGTTTCGGATGCTTCATCAATATCTACGTTTTCCATCCCACAATCTTTGTATTCTTTAAATGCACCATTCTCAAACAAGCCAAGTTCTAAAAGAACAGTATTTATATTATCAAGTGATACTTCGTTTGACATTTCTGCTAACTGAAACATTAATCTTTCACCAACACCAGTTGGAACCATTTGTTCTTTTTCTCTTGTTTCTTTTTCTTCGTATAAACTTTCGGCGTTAATTGTATCATTTATGAGTTCTTGATTTTCTTCTATTTCGGTGTTGGAGTATTCTTCTTCATTACTTTGAAAATTTATATGTAGTGTTGTTTGGTGTGCTTCTCGTTGAATATTCTGTTCTCCAATTAAATTGGTTGGTGGTTCTTGAAAAACATCTAATGTCCGCTTTAATTGCGTTTCAAAATATCGCTTTGAACTTGGAAGCGATGCAAACTTGATAAAAAAGAGTTCGGTTATTTGTGCTTTCGTTCTTGTAATATTAGGTTCTATTTTTGAAGTTATATTAACATCTATCGAATCGTTGTGAGCCACAACAAATCTACAAAGCATTTCTTCGTCTTCTTTATTAGTTTGATAGTTTTTATGATGAACTTGTTTATAACGTGAAGTATGTGCGTTTTTTGCTGTAAACCATTTCCCGTGATATAAACAAAAACAAAAAGTATCAATACCATATATCGCTTCAACATAATCAAGTGATAACTCTTTCAATGAATTTAAATAAAACAATTCTTTGTGAAGTTGCATTTAAGTATTTTAAGTTTATAAAAAAAACAATATAAGAAGTTGAAATTAAAATGTATTATTATTATATATTAATATAATTTGTTTAAGTTTAATTATCAATGAAACTATATTTTGGTTTAATATATAAATTATTTATAACTCATTTTGTTTATTTGAATGATAGATCATAAATGTTTAATATGTTTATCAAATAAATCTCACTGTTATTGTTTTATGTGTTTCATTATGATTAAACATACAAAATGTCAAAACAACATAATCAAAATGGTTTACCTAATATGGTGCTTCGATGTATGTTAATGTAGTTTCTTTTAAACATATTTCTTTATTTCTTAAACTTATTTAAAACCATAATAAATTAACTTTTTTAAAATATTAACAAATATAATATACATTTTATATTGTATATAATATATTATATATTATATATATTGTTTAATTTTATTTTAAAAAAGATTATTTCAACTCGTTATTATCAAAAATATGTTAATATTGTTTAAAATCACATTTTTTTATGAATTATTGTTTTTTTAACAAAATGTTAATTAAAAACATGCGCTAATTATGATGATAATAAAAAAAATAATCAAATTCTTATTTTTAAAAAAAAATCTGCTTTTTTTAGCGTTGTCATATCGAACGGAAATTCAATATTACCTAATGTCCCGTTTATTTGAACAATTTTAAAAATACCTTTACCATAAACGATTTATTTGCCGCAAAAAAGAGATTCTTCAGTCTTTTTTTTAAAAGGATAATTTTTACGAGGCATGATTATAACATTACATAAACACATACATAAAAAACAAAATAAAAGTTTGAGTATTCTTGTAAAAAAGGTCTATTTAATTACAGGGCGTTTTTAATATGTAAAAATGTATTTTTTCGCTCAACTTTTGTTAATTTTAGTTTGTTGTTTTTGACGAACCCTGTTGTAGAAAAAAATAACACTTTAAAAATAATTATTTATCTTAGTTCCTTTTGAGTTGATAGAATTTAAAAATCACTTAAGAAGCGACGAATTCAATTATTAAAATTCAAACCTCAAAGTTTTTAAAATTAAATCTGTCAAAACTCAAAAATTATCGAATCATTCAATGAAACACTTAGAACCAGTCTATCTCATGAATGTAATCCTCTATTTGGATTCCATTTCAACAGCAACGAAATTACTTTATGTATCTCATTCTACTCAATCTGCAATAGCACGTCTTAAGACAAATCCAACATTTCCAAACACATCAATTATATCTTTATCAACCATTTTCAACTATTTTCCAGGTCTTGAGCAATTGTCATACCCATACTCGTCTCTACATTATCAGTTGACTCCACAACTTTTTAATAAATTTGAAACATATGAATCTCAAAACAAGAACGAGATGACGTCAATACCTTCAACACCAAAAAAGATCTTCCTCAAAATGCGAACTCTTTCAATCGACGTTGGAGTGTTTCTTTCTGAAAATTCGGTTGTCACATCAAACAATTTCCCACGTCTTGAACAACTGAAACTCTTTGTTCCTAAAAATTTTGGTCTTCCAGACTATCAATTGGGTATAGCTGCTAAGAAATTTGAATCACTTTTGCAGTGTCGATTACTTCAGAAAATATATATAGTAGTTGCCACATTGGACGACTTCGAGTTATTTGTGCAATTGACTCTTCTTGGAGGACTTGAAAGACGTCGAGTCGTGTTTGATTTCCCTGATTTTGTCGACTCCCCTCTTATGCAAAAATTTCCCGAAAATTGGGCCGTAGTCACTTCAGTTTTAAATCAGAATATTTTTAGTTCAAATAACCGTGTAATATTCAGAAATAAAGACCCAAAAAATATGATCAGGTTTTCTGTTAATGGTCTTTTTAACAAGGAAATTAATGTATTAAACACCATTCCAACCATCAAAGTACTCAGTCTGGGGTTGTTCAAAAAGTGCAAGTTAGAGAGTAACGTTGTCGATTTGACGTCTTTTGTTTTTCTAGTTAAACTTGAATTGACTGCAAAAGTTGGGTATCCTGTTGAAAAGGTACTTCTCCCACCAAATTTGGAATCATTCAAGTTGATTGGCTGTGTCAATGAAATTGATTTTAGTACCAACAAGGTGAACAGTATAGAGGTGGATGGACACATCTCATACATTAAAATTAATGAGTGTGTGAATTCAATCAGTTACACATATAGTAACATGTACAATCGATCTGATAATACATGTACAATTACTGTTGATAAAAAGATTGACGTTTTAGAGTTAAAACCCGTAGACCGTGTATCTATAAACGACAAACTCAACTTAATTTTTAAGGGCGAAGAAATATCAAACATCAGAATTCCTTCAATGCGTTTTTTCGAAGCAATTGTTAATGTTAAAATGGATGTAAAAAATAGAATAAAGCGCCTTGAGATTTGTCAAGGAGATTACTGGAATGTTCATCTAAATGTCGATATTGTAACAAAGAAAATAAATCCAATGGATTTTATTTTAGAATTTAATGAAACGTGTTTTCATAATAATTTTGATATCAAAGGTTGTGACATAGAAAACATCACACTTATTAACAAAAATCCATTTATACCATACAATTCTACTATATATGGAATTGATCTTCCAAAAACATTAAAAACTTTAAAATTGATTAATTACAGTAAAGAAGTTGATAAAATCAGGTATTTGTGGCTGATGAATTCAAAAGATATAAAACCTTCATTTTTATCACAATTCTTCCATACCAAAAAACCTTTAAAAGATACTACAAATTGATTGATTTTATAGTTTTTAATGTTTGAACATCTTAATTTTTTAAAATCATAATTTTATATATTCATGTTACTATTTTATTACCTAAATGTTCATTTTTTATCAAAAAATGTTTGTTATAAGAGCAAGTTATAGGCTGAAATTAATTGTAAAATAAAAAAATAAGGTGGTTTTTATTTTTTGTTTATTTTATATTATTATAATACAAATTAATTTAAAATATGTCGTAAATTAACACTTTGAATAATATTGAATCAAATTTAAACAGCCTAAAATTGTAAAAACTAAAGCAAATTAAATATTACTGTATGTTTTTAAATAGTTTATTAAGTACAAAACATCACACAAACTATAAATAATAAAACAATACTGAATATTACATTAAAAATAGGTAAAAATAAAAACAATGTCGTTGTTTATAACGTTAAAGTGTTTAAAACGTGTGTTACACAAATAACTTATTCAAAATAAGAAAAACAGAAACAATTTTAATAATTAACAATCAATTATTTTTATTTCATCACAACTTCAATAGGGTGACCAACACAATATATAAGTTCTTGTTTTTTATTTCTCTTGACACATTCTTTTTTTACTGACGAAAGAAGGAATACGACTTTACACAAACTTTTTATTTGTATTGGTAATAACAAACAGTCGAACATATCGTTTCTGAGTGTGATTTCTTCAATATCAAAAAGTCCTTTGGACACGCAATAATAAGATTCAAACACACTCGAAAATCGACTTTTGCAATTTCATTTCCGGTGTTAATCAACATTAACTGTACTCGATTCTTTTGTAAATCAAGTGCAATATTATTAAACGCGCAGTTGATGTTGACTGTACTTAATTGAGTGCATCTCTCCGTCCCAACAAATGTGATTTTATTTGGTGATGGCGTGACAACTTCGAGTTTATAAAGTTTGCAAATCTCATGTCTTGGATTTGGCATTGGATAGTCGTCTCCACAGTCTTTTTAAAAAAGACCGAAAACTGTAACAACCCAAATAAATTTGTCAAGTCAATGTTTTTGACATAATTTCGGTCAAAAGTGATATTAAGTGTATACAACATGTAACAGTAATCTGGACATAAATACCAATGTTTTTTAATGTTATGTGAATTTAGATACTTTTCATTAAAACTTTTAACGTTTGTAGTTGGCATTTTAAAATATATAAATTGTTCTTCTTCAATTTTTCGTGTGTTAGTTGCGACTGAAATTTTTCCTTTGTCTTCGACGGGGTTTTTAATGCAAATGATGTGATATTTGTCATTGGAATTTGTGTCGATGTCCACTTCGTCACTTTCTATATTAAAAAGTCCAATTGCCACGTCGGGGTTTGTTGCAACAAAATCAGAAAGTTTAATTAACAATTTTTCATTCACAGATAATAACAACAAATGTGTTACAAAAACGATTTCGTTGAGCATTATAAGAACAACAAAATTTTAATTTAATCGAATGATTTTCAATACTGAAGACTGTTGTGTTATTATTACAACAGACGAGTTCAAATTATTAAAGAATGTGAGTATGTAGTTTTCCAATAAGTTTTATAGGTGTGATTCGTGCGATTACAAACCAAATTGACGTTGACAATTTGGAGTGTTCTGCTTGTTAAAGTACCATTGGGTTTGAGTCTCGAGAAACCAAGAAATGTGTGTTAACAACAAAATTAATGGACACCGAGGTATATAAAATAGAATGTACCACGGGATGTTCGACTTGTACAAACGGAACGAATTGCCAATACACAAAATCGTTTTAGTACACAGCTCGGTCAGATGCAAAACTTTTCTATGAGAACCACAATTACTGTCAGAAGTACCAATATGGTGTATGTTGAATGTTCCAACTCAATCAACTTGAATGCAATTTGTTTTAATATGGAACAAACACATTAATGTTCCTTTTATTTTGAAAGTGATGACACAATTAAATGAAAAGAATACGCAGAATTTTTACAAATTAAATATGCAAATTGAAGATGTTAGATGTGAAACATAATCGAATGGATTTCGTATAAAGTATTACTTGAAATACATTAGAAAAAAGGGTATCCGCCACAATGCGAGTCGTGTGGTGATAATTGTCTGAGTTGCACAACACCAACTACATGTCAAATGTTCAAATAGATTTTTATTGATCAGTAAAAGTTGTTTAACACTTTCAAATATTCGATATCAACTATAAGTGGATGTCCTGTATGTATAAAAGGGTATTATTCTTTTTCTTACCTTTTTCAAAATGTTAAGTTAAATTAACTGCAAATTATTGTTATCACGGCAAACAATGAAATGCAATGTATTTCATGTGAAGGAAATTACATTTTAAATGACACGTGTTGTGTTGATATGTTTACTGAACGTTGCCAGAGTGTCGACTTATCAACTTCAAATGTGCAATTTGTGAAGACAAGTACAAATTTGACGATAACAAAAAATGTGTATCAATGGAAACGACGCAATGCTAGTATACATCATCAGGCGATTACCTTCAATGTGATTCACAAATCTCACTTGGAACATCAAATGAAAGTAAAACAATTTGAAGCACCGAAGTAAAGACAGTTTATTGCAAAAGAAACAGCCAGTGAATGTGCCAAGTGTTATGGTGGGTATTATTTAAGTGGTACTGAGTGCCTTCTCTGTGATAAAAATGTTCAAGTTGTTCTAATAATTCAGAAAGTTGTGTTTCATGTGCTTTTGTATATTATTTTGACACAACAAGCAACGATTGTATTTATGTTGGTGAACTTGCTGAAAAGTGCAAACTGTTTTTACCGAGTGGTGCCGAATATGCTACACGCAATGAGAAGTACATTCTCATTAATACATATTGTGTAAATTTGATAAGAAGTGTTTGAATTGTGTTGAAAACATTTTAACACATGTAAAGTGTGTATTATAAAGACATCGAATTTACAGCATTAAAAGATAAGAAGTGTGTCATTAATACAACATTTGACGACTTTGAATGGGTTTCAGAATATGGATGTGCTTTGCGTTACGACAGGTATTATAAAAACAAATATTACAAATACCCAAAGTGTGTTAAGTTGCGTGCGACATGTACAGACAATAATACGTGCTCTTCATGTTTTGATATCTAAAACATCTCAAAGTGTGAAATGGAATTCAAATGAAATTGTTATTCATATGATTTTAAAAAAATGGAAGTGCGGTAAGTTCAGTGGAAGCAACAATATTGGACCAAATGGTAATGAGTGTGTAATCAAACAAACGGACTTGCAATTATACATCCAATTCTCTTTGGTATTTTAATTGTTATCATTGTTAAAAATCAATTCTATACGAGTTTAGATTCATTATAAAAATGAAGAGAAGCTGAGTAAGTCACTCGTGAATGAATTTATGTTAGAGGATTTGAAAAAGAAAAAAGTCAATATGATATATCTTGGCACTCAAAAAGAATGCATTTTGTCTTCAACACAAGAAAATTGTTTTGATGGGAAAAATTGCAATTCAAAAAGGTAGCGACTGTAAATTCACGGTTGGAAATGACAGGGCGCCTCTGTTGAAAACTCAATTCACTTCACAAAATAATGAAGAAAAGTTTGAATTGAATGTTGAACATTCCATCCCAGTGAGTATCAAGAAAGGTCGTGCTGTAGAGTTTACATCGACGGTTCATCCACCGTGTACACTTGAGAAGATTGTCGACATCACTTGTTCAGTCTTAAACATCAACAAAGGCAAAAATTCAGAGATAAAAAGCCGGTCAATTTTGCGTCAGAAATGTCGACAGCCCTTGACGACGTCTCCAAAAAATATTTAAAGAAATAATATTTTTCGTTTAATATTTTTCAAAATATACTCGTTTCAAAAAAGTTCAAATGCAATTTTTTAAATATTTAAAAAGTTATAAATTACAAAAATTGATTTATTTGTTTTATTATTTTTAATTAATAATATTAGTTCACACACACGGTTCTGATAGTTGTTATATAAATACAATAAAAATGTTTTTATGTATATTTTTAAACATATTAACAAGACAAAATACAATACGGTCACTTTGCCAAATGTTTAAAATTGCTTCACACAATACTTTTGTTGTTAAATTTTAATTAAACTATTAATGTGTGATATAACATATAATTTTTTAATATATTAAAATAGTTTTTATCGAATGATATATTCATAAAATTAATGATATGGGCAATTTTTTCCAGCCAAAAAATGTTCATACTGTAAGTTATGTTATATTTTAATTTTATAACATAATTATTTTTTGATTTGTTAGTGTAAATAGAAATTTTTAGTTTTTATCATTTATGAAAATATATTTTTTTCAATTTGAAATTTTATATATTATTGATTTTACAATCAAGTAAATAAACCATTTAATTATTTTTATAACTTTTTAATACAAAATGTTGAAATTTAAACGACATATCACATAACAATGAAACAATGACCAAGATTTTCACGGTTACAATTCAGATATTTTTTTATTAATATTATTTTTAATGTTGTCCCTTTCTTTTTAAAAATTAAAATTGTAACTCGTAGTTTTTTTCCAGAGTGAAAATAAAAATTTAATTTTTTAACTATTTAAGGAATTTTGACATTTTTCCTAATAAATAAATATTTATTTGTGTATTTTTCGAAAGCAATAACGTTAAAAACAACTAAGTTGAAAAATTATTATAAATAATTATATAATTAACAACAATTATATTAATAATAACAACTAATAACCTTGAATACGTTTTTTATAACTTAAAAACAACACTACATCTAAAAATCATTTACTTTTTTGTTTTGGAAATGGCAGATTTTTTAAGTTGTTTTTCATTAAACAACACCTTATTCTTTTTCTTTGTTTTTGTTCTATGTCTTTTTGGGGTTTTTTCAATTCAATTTTTTTGTTTTCGTTTATTTTTATTTTCTTTTCTTTTTTTCTTGTACTTTTTATTTTTCTTGATTTTTCTATTTCCGATATATTCAATGGCAATTAGGGATGTCGAAACGGTTTCCTAAACGATTTTTTGTTTATTTCTGAAACAAACAATTTTAGTATGTTTTAAAACATGAATAAAAAAGTTTGTGAAACAATTTCAGTTTTTGAAATTGTTTTAAAAATAAATAATACCTGTTGGGTTTTCAAACACTGTGTTTTAAAACTACTTGTTTCCAAAACAAATGTTTCTCAAACTTTATATTTTAATTGTGTTGTAAAATGACATTTTCAAACAAAATTTAATTTCAAAATATTTTATTTTTATTATTGTAATTGTTTAAACAAATTATACTAATAATGTCAAAATTATTTTTTTTAATTTTTATTCAAAATTTACTTTTTAATACGTCATTAGTCATTTTTTTAATTAAAACAATTAACAAACGAGCATTGTATAACCAATAATTGATCCAAATGATTATTTGAATAAAATATGACATTTTTATCATTTATTAAAAGATACAATAAAATACGTCACATAGTCGATCCATTAGCTAAGAAAAATGTCAAATAGTCATTCATACAAACACGACAATAATAACAACATTATACTCGTTACAATCAAAAAATAATATTTTTTTGAAAAAAATACTAAATATTTTATACCATCATTTAAACCCAATCTTTTTTATCTCTTACATTTATGTTTAACCCCAAGCATGATCAACATTACATTGAAAAGTTAAATTAGTTGTTTTTGCATCACACTATTCGGTTTGTTTTAATTGAAAATAACAAAATAAAATTAACATTTCCAATTTTTAAATAATAAAAATATTAAAACTTGAAATACACTATTCTTTTGTATATTTCAGCAACCATAAAGTTTAGGTTAAAAACTTATTGTTATAATTATGTTAATGTTTTGAATTTGTTACCAAACTGTCATGACTTAATTTAAATTAATTAATTAAATAATTAATATATAAAACATGTTTTTGATTACTAAAATATAAATTCTAATAATATCAATTTATTATTATTAATGTTTTTTTTCAAATGTTGTAATATCATCAAAAATTATTTAATAATGTATAAATATTACTGTTATTGTTAATATAAATTATACTTATGTTTTTGTGTTTGTTTTGATTGATAAAAAATAACAAAATCAAGTATTATTTTAATTTGGTTTACGTTTTATGTAGTCTTTATTTTTCAATTTATATTTAAATGATGTGAATTTAAAAAAACATTAAAATATTAACAATTTTTTATAATTATATATTAATTTTAATAAATTAAATAAAAACTTACATAAAATAACATTTAATACCAATTTACAATGCAAATTTGCATTGAAAAGTTGTATTTAAATAAATATTTTATATAAATAATGGATTTATAATCACGCGTTTTAAGTTATATAACGATTTGTTATTTTAACAGCACATAATTATACAATTTATATATACAACAAATTACATTATTTTTAAAAGTATCACACTTTTCATTTAAACCATATTTACATTTTAAAAAAAGAATTTTTTATATTATAAAACTTAATAATTTTATTTTTTAAAAACAAAAAAATATGATAAATTATTTTAATTATTTAATTATTCCAGTATCATACTTGTGCTACAATTTTCTATTCCAACCAATTCTTTCAGATTCTTTTTTCTTGTATAAGTATAAATGAGACACATTTTTTCTAAATGAGTAGGAAGTAATTTATTCCTATTAGTTGTTGTGTAATTTCCAGCCAAAGAAAACAACCTTTCGGAAGGTGTGCTTGCACATAAAATAGATGCATGATCTACTCCAAGTTTTGAAAGAGCAGGCAAGTATATTTCTTTGTTTTTCCAATATGTCGCAAAATCGTTGAAATTGTCATTTTCAAGAGGTTCATTTTCATATCTCATCATTTGTGACAATACATCAATATTTGTATTTGTCTTATTTCGAAGAGTTACAGAATATCTCAATTTTGGTGTTGCTTCAATTTGTGACAATTCTTGTGTTTGGGGAACAATTGAATTTTCTTCAATATAAGATTTGATTAACATCCTTATTTCATCAACCTCTTCAGTGTTAAATACCGACAATTTTACTACAGGATTAAGGTAATTTGCTAACATCACTTTTGGATCTTTTCTTAAATTGTACTCCCCCTCATAGAAATAAAAATTTAATGATTTGATTACATTATTTAAAAATTCAATTTTCGTTTTAGTCAAATCAAATTTAAAATGTTCTTCGTAATCGAAATTTACATTTTTAAGTTGTTTTGTGGTATAATTCAAACAGTAATCTGGGGTGTATTCTTCATCTCCAATTGTTAAAGTAAGTTTCGTTTCTTCGATAATTTCATTTGTGTTTTTATTGGATTCAATTAAATCAATTAAATCCATTTTAAGTTGTTCAATTTCAACATACAAATAAAATAATGTTGGTATTTTTTCGGATGATAAAAAATCACTGGTATTTTTAATAGAATTCATTACATTTCCAACGAAACCAAGAATTTCAAAATCACTTTGTGAAAAAGTGTGATTTGCAATAAACAATTCTTTTTCTTTTTTGTTTTTTATTGATTTTGAACGTTCTATAAACAACCGGTTTATTTCTTCACCACTCGAAATTACACTTTCTATCATTCCGATCTTTGTAAACCATCTAATTTCTATATCAGTAATCAATCTTTTATACTCCTTGTGTTCTTCTTCAAAAATGTTCTTTAATGAAGAAAAAAGAGTTGAACTTTTTTTGATCTTTTTCACAACCCTTTTGGCTTTTTTGAGTACACTATTAACTGACAATGTATCTGTGGTTGATTTTTTAATTGCAAGATTTAATTTGTGGCATGAACAACCGATTGATTTTAGTCCTGCAGCTTCCACCGCACTAACAATATTTTTAGCATTATCACTAATAACAACAAAATCTCCAAATTTTTCCAATGACCAATTTTCAATGCAATTGAGAAGAAAGATGGAAATATTTGTTGTTGTATGTACATGTAAAAATTCAGTAAGTTGTAGAACACGAGACGTTATTTCTCCATTTTTATAAAAGTGAATAGTGAAACTGTAAAAACTCAATTGAGTTTTTGAAGTCCAACCATCGACTGTAGCACATATTCCATCTTTAATTTCATGTATTTCGTCTTTGATTTCTTCTTTGTATTTTTCATAAATTTCTTCAATTCTTGTTGTAACACTTTGTCGACTGGGGACAACATATTCTTGATCAACCATTTTCATTATTAATTTGAATGGTTCCATTTCGACAATAGAAATGGGTATTCCTGGATAAACACACAAATGGGTTAAAAGTGAGTCCAAATTTTTATGTGTAATATTCCAATCACGATATCCTCTATTATATAAACTTCTTTCGGATGTCTGTGTGTCCATATTAATATGATGATTGTGAATTAAATGATTTCGCATATTTGTAGTTACTAGTTTGTTAGTACAAGCAAAAGAACAGCGACAATCACCAACTTGACATTGATATTTAAGAATACCATGGGCCCTCAAAAAGTTCTTGTTTTTCTTTCTTTTTACGTGTTTATTTTTATTTTTTGTGTTGCATTTTTGAAATATTTCATCGTATTTGTATCTTTTGATGATATTTTCAACTGGTTTATTGTCAACCATTTGTATTTCAACTTCAACCAATGAACAGTTTGACCAAAATGGTCCAATAGCTTGAGCTTTATCATCTATTATTTCTTCCATGATTAATATTGTTTAATTATCGAGTTTATATATTTACATTTCGAATATTTTGTATGTTGAAATTGTTTTCGAAAACAAATAAATACTTTAAAATTGATTTGTTAAGATTTTGATTTCAATATATATATAACAATAATAAAAATAAATAAATAAATTATTAACATTAGTTTTTATCATTGTTTGAAAATGTCATTTTACAACACAATTAAATAATAATGTTTGAGAAACCGTTGTTTTAAAAACAAGTAGTTTCAAAACACGGTGTTTGAAAACGAAACAGGTATTATTTATTTTATAACAATTTCAAAAACTGAAATTGTTTCACAAACTTTTTTATTCGTGTTTTAAAACATACTAAAATTGTTTGTTTCAGAAATAAACTAAGTTAAAACACAATTTTGAAAACAAGAAATATTTCACAAACATTTGAAAATTTCTCAGTTTTGAAAACTGTTTCGACATCCCTACTTTAATTGTTGTGTTTAAATTAAACAACATAAAACAAAAAATAACAAAAAAATCAGTTTTCAAACTGTCTTAAATAGTCTTCGAGCTCCTCAACGACTTCATCGATGACAATTCTGACTTTAAATTCGAAGCACCACATTTTATTGAGCAATGAATAAATAGTGTCATCCGTCTCACCGACTTTCTTCAAGTGATTTCCTTTTGACACGAAGTCTGCAACGCTCCACGCAAATTTGAATTCACTTTTTGGGTATGGTTCTTTCCAAGTAAAACACTCGTACATAGTAATAGCAAACGAGAAAATATCACTTGGCATTTTGTACTTTTCTTTATTTAACACTTCAGGAGACATATACTTTGGTGTTCCAATACCTTTTGTGAAAGTCATATTAGTCATCAGCATATTAATATTTCTCGCACTCCCAAAATCTGTCATTTTTGCATTGACCTTCTCGTCCATTTCAAGTGAAAACACAAGTAAATTGTCTGGTTTAATGTCTCTATGGACTATTCCATTGTTATGTAAATAAGAAATACCTTTCGCCATATCTAACATCAATTTCGCTTTAATGACATTACGTGGTGAAACCTCCTTTTCTCTCTTCATTAAGTCGTTTAAACTTCCAAATTGAGCAAATTCGGTGACCATACAAATTCGACTTGGTATGAAGACTGCGCCGTAGAAGTGGACGATGTACTCACTTCTGAATTTATCTAACATTGCAACTTCTTTCTCAAATTCTTTGATCTTCTGATTAGTCTCACAACCCTCTTTTAACTTTTTAATAGCTACTTTCTTCCCTCTAAAGTCGCCTAAATAAACTATTCCAAAACTTCCTTCGCCAAGTTTCTTAGTTTCTTTTAACTCGTGGTAATCCAATTTTGTAGTCATTTCAGTCTTGGCTTCTATTGCAATGTGCTCAGTCATTTCTATGCCCTTTTGGATATCCAAACCGACACATACAATCTTCTCTTTAATTTCACAGGAACATAAAGGCTTCAAAAACACTTCAAATTCACAGGCCTCCCCACTCTTTAAATTCACTAATTTCGGCTCCGTGCGGATTTCATAAAAATCACAGCCTTCTATTACACTGAACTGAATTTTAAGTCGATTTTTAGACCGATTGCCAACACATAATAATTCACGCGTTTCTTTGTCAACGGGAATGTTCCCATTTTGAGTGTCTTCATTCTCAAAGACTACAACTTTCTTGTTGGAGACAAGCCACTCATTCACTTTGAAAAATTGAATGTTCGACTTTTTCATTTGAAAGACACAGACATTGATCATTTTTTTCTTCTCTTTTAAGTGCAAATACAAGAAGAAAAGTAATATTATGGATATTGCTATCACTATTAATAACACTACAAATAAGACAACAGGAAGTGCAATATAAAGAGCCAAATTGGGCTTGTCTTTACACGACAAGCCATCGTCTTTTGGTTGTTTGCCTTCTACACATGACATGCAAAATCCATTGTGAGCAGAAGTGCAAAATTCAATTTCAGTGTAATACAAGCAAATGCCATCTTTCAAGACGTAATCAGTGACATTGCATATCTCACACGATTTTAAAGAAGTGCATGAGAGACAATTCTCTGCACATTTAGAACAATACGGATCTGTCATATAATACCCCATTTGACACACATCACAGCCATGTGACGTCTTGTTTTTGCACCCAATTAACTTGTCATAGGTGATACACAAGTCACTGTCTTTTTTATAGTAAAAATATGTGTCTGCACACAACGAACATGAAATCGAGTTTTTACAAATTGCACACGATTTATCACATTCGTAACAAAACTTTTGCTCATAGTAATACCCGTCTTTACAGATTGCACATCCAACACCATTGCCCATCGGTTGTTGGCAACTGATTGTTAAAATGGTTTCAATACACTCGCCTTTGTTATTGAGTAACAATTTTTTCGAGTAGTCACATGTTAGACAAAGTGTTGAATTAAAACATGTCGTGCAATTGTTGGCGCATTTAACACATTTATTATCTTCTAAGTAATATCCATCGTTGCATGAAAGACACCCTTTCTCGTTTTGATATCTGCAATTTGTGTTGTTATCAATTTCTTTCCTCAAATATTTAGTATTATCCACATCTTGTTTGTAATTTTGAATTGTTTGGTCGTTTATGTTAGTACCAATAACACTTTCACAATTTCCATCACTCAAAAAGTGTGTTGTTTCACACTCAAAAACAGTACTTTGAGTACTGTTAACAACTGTGTGCATTGAGTATCTCACAAATTGTTCTGATGATACACAGTGGTCGTCTTGGTTGTTTCGTGTGTATTTATCATTGCATTGGATGCACATGCACCCATTTGTCTTGTGGCAATTCACTTCACTTTTCAACACACAAATTCCATTGACTAAAAGTGTATCATTTGTGCATTGAATGCATTTACACGTGTCTGTAAATACTTCACAATTTGTGTGTGAATTATTGTCGTTGCAATCAACACATCTATTCTTTGTTCGTTTGAAAGTCTTGGATTTGTCACAGACAGCACAGTCACTTCCATCAATTGTGTTACAATTGGTGTCACTTGTACAAGTGTTGTTTTCAATGTTTATCACATATTCACTTTGACACGAAAACACACTGAAATTATCTGTCAAATTTAAAGAACAAATCTTGGCGTTGTGTGTCGAACAGCTTTCACAGCCATTCGTTTGATTTTTGAAATATCCATTTTTACATATAAAAGTGAAGTTGTTTCGTATTATCTCATTGTTTTCATTTGAAGTACAAGTGTTGTCTGTGTTGAGAATGTTGCTATCTTTACATTGTAAACACCTCTCTTGTTTTTCATTGAGTTGTATGTTGTATTTGCAATGCTCGTTCTGTATAAAACACGAAGTGCCAATTGAAATGCCAAAATCGCACACTTCACAATTTGAACGAGTGTTGGTTGTACAATTGTTGGTGATTGCAACACATTTGTCGTCTTTCAAAAAACTTGTATTATTGTTGCATTCAACACAAACATTTTGTTTTGCATTTTTGACACAATTGATATCATTGGGTTGACAATTTTTTGAGTTATTATCGTAATATGTATATGTTGAACATTTTAAACATGTTCCTTGATTTGTTTCCAAGTTGAAAGGTGGATAACAATCGTTGCAATGAGCCTTGTAATCATTTGTAGTTGAACACAAGTGGCAATTTTGTTGTCCCAAGTAACACATTTGACACGTTCCTTCTGTTGAATTTTGATATGTTCCACTGCGACACAAACAAGTCCCATTAAACAATTCAAATGCTGGTTCACACCTGGTACAATATTTTCTACCCGTTTCACAGGTGTCACAGTTTTTGATTGTACTACAAGTGTAGCATATACCACCATCTAAATAAGTCCCTGTTTGACATTTGGTGCATTTTGTAGTATTAGTACAACCCGCAATACAGCCATCTCCGCAATATGTGCAAGATTTTGATGTTGCATCAAAATAATGATGATCAACACATGTAATACAAGTACCATTGTTTGGTCCAGTGCACGTGTCACATGGCGATGAACAACGTATGCACTTATATGTTGATGTGTCAAGCCAATAATACGCGCTAATACAACTTTTACAATCTGTTTGTGAAGAACATTGCAAACACGGGCTTACACATTGAGTGCACGCGTTGCTTGGATTCAGATAATAATAATCAGAAATACAAGTATTGCAAACAGTTGCATTTGAACAAGTCGAACACGGTGAAATGCAACTTTGACAGTTTCTATTACCGTCCAAATAAAACGAATTGTTTATACACCGTGTACACCCAACATTATCTGCACATGTTGAAAAATCACAATTGTTTCCACAAGAATTGCAAATTCCATTGGATAAATAAAACCCGCTATTACATTGTGTACACCCAGACGTTGTCGTGCAATATGTTAAGTTGCAGTTCGCTGGACATGGCGCACAAACGTGATTGTATGGATAATACCCGCTATTGCAAGTTGCGCACCCTTGGATTTGAACACATTTGGTGCATTGATTACCACAATATCGACAATTATGATTTGTATCAAGATAATAACTGCTTACACACGTCAAGCAATACGATGAAGTTGTGCACGTCGCACAGTTGTTAATACAAATATTACAAACACCATTTGATAGGTAATGCCCACTTTCACATTGTGTGCACCCTCTTGCATCATTACAATAATCCAAGTTACAATGATCAACACACGTGTTACATTGATTGTTATTAAAATAATACCCACGTTCACAATTAGAACACCCGGTATCAACTTGACATGTACTATTAACACAATGATCTCCACAATAATTACATATGCCATTTGATAAATAATATCCACTCTGACAACTTGTACAAACTGAATTTGAACAAGTCGTACATACGTTTGGAGATCCACACTTCATACAAATATTATTTAACTTGTAGTAATTATCTGCACAATTGATACAATTGTTTGCTCCACTATCAGTACAGCCATTACAAGACACGTCACAATTCTTTGTACAGAACCCATTCGAATCAATATATTGATTACCATCACATGATGCGCATTTAAACCCATCAATGCAATGATTTGTACATCCAATACAATAGGTACAATTGTTGTTTGTTACACTTTGACCATAATAACACGAAGTGCAGTAATTTGTGTTGCTGGGATTGCATGTTTTACATTTATCGTTGCATTTTAAACAATTGTAATAACTATAAACATATCCATCTTTACAACTTGTACATTTGTAATTAATTGTTGTGGAAGTTCCACAATTTGTATTAGAGCATCCTTCACATGAATAACAAACACCACTAATCATATAATAATTAATATTACATATTTGGCAATTATTATCATTCCATGAATTACAAGTATAGCAATTGGCTACATTACAAGCAGATTTCACGAGACCTTTAATTTGTTGTGTTGTTGAAGGAAAATCGTAAGTAGATTGTTGGTTTGAAAAATTTAAATAAGTAAAATTTCCAGTTAATATTTCGACATATAAAACTGCATCTTTATTGCAATAAATTGTTTTGTATTTTTTATTTTTGGTTTTGAATAGTAAATAATTGTTGTATGAAAGATCATCACACAAGAAGTTATTGTCAACACACTCCACTTGACTTCCGTTGCCGCACCATTTTAAACTCAAACAAGTCCTAAAAAAGAAGAAGAAAGACACTATAATAATTTGGTAAGTCATATATTATTTCAAGATTGTGTTTTTTTGTTTGGTGTTATTGAACATTTAGCGACTTTTTCTTTTTTTTTTACTATTGTAGATTATTTAAGGTATTAATAAATTGTTCTTTATTATGTAAAAATATATTAATCTATTAGTGGGGTTAAATTATTGTTTCGAGTTGATCAAAATTATTTATATTGCAAAAAACCGAACAAAAATCGAAAACAGTATATTAAAACAAAAGTTATTGTTTTGTTATTTATTTCATTTAATTGGAAAAAAAAAATAATAACTTTGATATAAACACAAATTAGATTTATGTATTTTGTAAATATTCAAAAACGTCGAAAAAATCATATTAAATAATTTAATAGTTTTAATTAATGTTATTTAAATTAAAAATTCCCGAATAATTCATAATAACATCGAATGGATTACCAAAAAAACAATAAAATTAATATGTTTTTTCATTATTTATCATTTTAATAAATAAACTATATATTTTAATAATTTTTATTATAAACAATAATTACTATTTTTAAAAACAGATTAACTAGTTTTGAATTTACACAGTTTGAAATCATTAACAATAAAAATTTATAAATAAAAAAGATTTATGAAAAAATAATAAACTAAATTTAATTTATAAATTGTTATTTCAAATAATATAATAATAAAATATACATATAATTTTATAACATTGAAACTATACTGGAGTTATAAGCTGTTAATGTTATTCTAATCTTACCTTTTTTTTATTAAACCATTTACCAATTTCCCAATAATATAATATAATATAATTTAATGTTGGTTTTGTCTTCGTCTAAATTTCTAAAAAAAAGTTATAAACAGAACAACTAGAGTCAGTTTTTAAAGATTATCTAGTAAACATAAAATAGCTTTAATTTTGTCTAAACGTCGGGCATTAGGTAAAGCGTGAAAAAACACGAAACGATTGGGATCAATTTTTGGTATGGCTTCCCGAAATATTACAATCTTAATGGTTCAAAAAGCACAAGAAAAAGTTTAAATACAGACTGTATTATTTGAAAAGTAGAAATTACTTTAATTAACATCTTACAAATAAACACAAAAATATTATTATTTTAAAATTACGAGAAAAAAATTTGTTAATAAATAAAATTTAATTGTTAAATCGTATCAACTAAAAATACAAGGAATACATTTTTTCAATAACAATTTTATACATTAAAGTTCATGAGTTATCTAAATCAAAAAAAAACAGTGTGAACGATTTTCTAATTTGATAAATCAAATTAAATACATTATGTAGTATAAAAGTCAACGAATATTCACACATATTATGTCACCAAATTTCCTATATTCAAATAAACATGTAGGTTAAAGTTTGTTTATTTTACTGAAAACATTTAAAGAGTGGGGAAAAAGTAACACCAGGGAAAAAGCTACACCATAATTCTTTTCGATTCTTTTTACTCAAAAGAACTTTCTTTTTTATTTATAAAATAAATTCAATAAAAACGGTGTTTTTGTGTGATTTCGGAATCGTGTTGATTCAAGTTTTGTATTTTTGATAAGTATTTACTACCTTTATAAAGTTCTAAAATATTTAAATTTTTCCTAACCAACAAATTTAAGTTTACATCAATTAAAAATAATGAAGAAATATTTCGCAATATATATTAAAAATTATGATAAAATGTGATATAATCAAGACAAACTTTGGCAATTATCATCGAATGATATTTCAATTATCAATTACAGTTATCATATTTTTTATTAATCTGTATACTATTAGTAATAATACATCGATTATAAACAACAACAATTTAAATTTGAATTTTATTAAATTTATTTAGATTAACATATTATACAATATAACTATATTATTGCTTTAAAAAATATTCTAAACCAAACCCACCTTAAGAATTATTCAATTACTCTTTGAGAAATAATTTATCTTTTGATTTGAAGTACTCTGTTAAACTCGTATTATGGGTTTTATTTTAACTATAATATGTAATATAATTATTATACAAATATGATATATTAATATACTTATTATTTTCAAT